AAAGGATCACTCTGGCAACCGTATGGCACAGGAATAGTGAGGGCTGTTCAGATAGAACCTGTTTTTAAAATTAAGACAGTGTTAACAGTGTAACAGACTACAATTGGAGCAGTAACCAAATACAGAAGTGATGATGGCAAGGACCAGTGCCTGTCAGTCACCATCCACCATTGTACCCCCAGTGCCAGGCATAGGTCACCACTCACAAAAAATGTGTTTTAAGAAAAGTGAGCAAATGAGTGGTTGCCATGTCGTTGAGTGTGGTAGCTCAGGTGATAAAGAATCTGCCTGCAGTGCAGGAGACCTGGCTTCCATCCCTGGGTTGGGAAGATCCCCGGGAGAAGGGAATGGCTGCCCTCTCCAGTACTCTTGCCTGGAGAATCCCGTAAACAGAGGAGCTTGGTGGGCTACAGTCCTTGAGGTCACAGAGAGTTGGACACAGCTGAGCAACTAATACTTGCACTTACACTTTGTTTTTTAGGGTAACTTGGGTAACAAAATGACCCAAAATTCAATGCCTTGAACACCATCAAAGTCCTTTCTTCTGTGACAATCTAAAGCAGTTTAGGACTCAGGAGAGGAGTCAGAAGACTTGCTCCACACAGTGTTTCAGGGACTCAGGCCAACTGCCTCTAGCTTCAGCAACTAGCTTCCAGAGCACTTGTGTTTTGCATCTGCATTCCAGCTCACAAGAGGAGAGAATGAGTGAGTGTCAAGGCATGAACCTTGTGAGGCAGCTTATTAGGCAGGCCTGGAAAGCATACATACAGCTTCTCACATCCTATTAAAGAGAAGCTAGTCACATGGCGCTATCTACCTGCCTGAGAGGCTTCAGATATGCTCTCACTGGGCACGTGGCTCCTTCATCCCTGTGCAAGAAAGGTGGAATGGATTTGGGTGGACAGCTAGCAAGCTCTTCCTTAGGTGACCTCTTACAGTACCAGGAATTCTTTTTGAATATGGATTAATTTATACAGGGAGGGATTGGGGGCAGGCGGAGAAGGAGATGACAGAGGATGAGATGGCTGGATGGCATCACTGACTCGATGGACATGAGTTTGAGTAAACTCTGGGAGTTGGTGATGGACAGGGAGGCCTGACATGCTGCGACTCATGGGGTCTCAAAGAGTCGGACACGACTGAGTGACTGAACTGAACTGAACTGAAGCCATAAAACGTGAAATGTACAAAAGAATACAAAAAAAATTTAAATTCGCCATGAATCCTTTGTTAATGAGAATATATCAGATACCTTCTCTTATAGCTCAAGGCTAGAATAATGAACTTGTTTTGACCAGCAGTGTTCCATGTAGCCTTCAAACTGAATTGTTTGTATATTGAGAGAAGGCGTTTTTTTAGTGTCCTCTGTAAAGGCTTTGTCAGGCTTCTCCGGTGGCTCAGCGGTAAAAAATCTGCCTGCAATGCCAGGAGACAGGGGTTCAATCCCTGGGTCAGGAAGAGCCCCTGGAGGAAGACATGGTAACCCACTCCAGTATTCTTGCCAGAAAAATCCCATGGGCAGAGGAGTAACTCAGACACAACTGAAGCGACTAAGCACAGCACACACACAGCATAAAGGCTTTGTCAGCATTTTATAGTTTTAGAAGCCAAATTTGTTTGTGCTCCAAGTGTTTTCAAGTATTTCAGTGATCAAACAGGTTTGAGCCTAGCTGTCAATGCCAAAACAGAGAAGGGGCCAGGGGGAAGAACTGAAAATGAGCTCCACAGTCTAATTTTTTCAAAGCGTTTGCTCTTTATAGATTTTAGGTCATTTTTATAATTGAGGAGAGTGGTTCTTAAAATTCAATTTCTTCTGACACCCCCAAGTCGTCAAAGTAAATTATAGGAATTTTGTATGTTTTCAAAAGTCTCTATGAGGCAGAACTAGATTTATCTATCTTTTTTAGTGCAATTCTAAAAGCAGTTTTATCAATTATACTTAAAGATATAATCTGCCCTTTGCTGTTTCTTAAAATTATCTATTACCTTTAAAAGATACCAACTTTAGAAAACTAAAATTAAATTAATCCAATAAGACATGATGTTTTATAAGAGTTCTTTTACTTCAAACTTTATTAAATGAAAACATTAATGAACTACTGTTTTACCACACCTGGAGAAGCATTTGGCACATGAAACAGTTAAAACCCTTCAGAGGTCATTGAGCCGCTGTTTTCTCATAAGACCAGCACTGTTAACAACTACAGAGCATTTGAAAGTCCAGTAGCATACTTGTCTTATAATGGAAGCTTTCTAAATTTCAGCCATTATTTTGACCTGTCCGTTCTATTTTCTCCTTTCCCTGTCTCATTGAAGTGGGGGAATGGCTGATCTATTTCTTAATCTTCCCTCCCCAAACCCTTAGGCAAAGAATAGATGTTAGAATCTATAAAGTGTTTTGCACCCATGGAAAATAGGTACTTTTGTTATGTACTCCTAGATCTTTACTACCCTTGTTAGTCTCATTCTTAAAAAAATTGCTGTAGGTTGCCAGTTGTAACACATTCTTCACATATTCCTGTTTCCAGAAGGTATAGGGGCAACCTAATTACTTTAGCAAAGGAACACTGTGTACTCGCATGCTGCTTTGGTGAAAGCAGACTATGAATATTCAGTAGTCTCCGATGTGTGGAAGACAACATGAAAACTGGAATTATTACAAAGCTTTAGAGAGAAATACTGAACAGTTTTGAAAGTCACCCTTTGTCAGTTACATCTGTAGAAACTCAGGTCCTTAGAGAGTTGTTAAACATACAGATCAAACATTTTTTAAAAAGTGGAGTAGGCGAGAGAGTTGAAGTTACAACTTGTCTTAACCCTGAAAATCAGCTAAACTTTCTCACATTTCACACCTGCTTTTTGCAAAACTTTCTATTGTAAAACATAACTATTTATTTTCTGTAATTCTCAAAGCCTATGTTGATTGTATCTTGGTTCTTTCTGTTTTGGGGGAAAAAAATCAATCTTCTAACATTCTGCTAACTGAAATATCTTTAAATTTATATTATAGTTTATTTTATGTTCTTTCTGAATATATCTTAGCCTCCCACCTGAAGATTTTTATTTCTTCTGAAATAGTTATTTGCATATAATTATGAAGGTATTTCATGGACAGTGTTTTAAAGTGATCCGAAGGTAGAGGGTTGCGCTTTCCCTAGGAATTCATCTTTCAGCGCTTCAGGGAAATTTAATACTATTGCATTAGATCTTACACTAAAGATTTTGATACTCTGTTGAAGATTACCAGTGTGAACAAAGATTCTTTGTCAAAGATGGATCGCTCTTAATCAGGAAAATCACATTCCAGTAATAAGAGCAACTATGCTCTGGCTTAATGAGAGCCATTTTAGAGAAGCCTCTTCTAACTCAAACTTTAGAGGTATAAACATGTACATATTATTGAATGTTTATATATATATATATTTAAATTTCTCAGATCCATTCTAAAATTATCTGTGTAAATTATCTAAACATGTAAATGGGTATGCAGTAATGGCAGACACCAACACTGTCTTACCAGTTCCTGGGACATCATCTTAACTATGGGCCAATAGTAGTAATATATTTCCTTGGAGATGTCACAGTTTTAGAAATCATAATACCACCAACAGCTAATATTCACTAAATGTATGAGACATTAATTTAATACTTTACATGTATTACCTCATTTAATCCTTACAACCACCCTATGTTAAGTATTGTTGCCACCCCCATTTTACCGCTGAGGAAACTGAGAGTCAGTACGGTCTTAATAGATCCTACAGTTAATAAATGATGGAGCTAAGATTCAAACCCAAACATTCTGACTCCAGAGCCACTATTAATAACTCTTATGATATGTTGTCTCCCTTGTTCTTATACTTGATGGAACCTAGGGTTTTAAACTTTTAAGAATTGCAGACAAGTTGACCATACCACCATAAATGGAAAATAATTTATCCACCTACCAAGCCCAAGATTAGCTATCTACTCTATATGCTTGTTTTGTGGAGATTTTTGTATATCTCAATTTCATAGGATCACTGTGAACCTTAATTCGATATATTTTGCAGTGGACTTTTCATAGTGGAAGATTATAAATATGTAGATGAATGCATGTTGCTTCAATGTGTTATTTCGACAACATAGAATGCATGGATTGTACTTAATAGTCTTTTAATGCAGAAATGAATCTTTGAGTTCAATGAAATTCGGGTCCAAATCTCCAAGGCAGCTTTGTGTTTGAGTCTACCAAATGCAAACGTGCGCTTGTTTGCATATTTGTAATCTTCCTGCATGGGGACGGCTTACTTTGTGCTCAGTCACCTGAGCTGTATTTAGAAACTGCTGGCTGTTTTCACAGAGGCAGTCTAAAAATCTTACTAATATGCCTCCCGATAAGTGTTAAGCCCTCTCCATCAGTCTGAAATACATGCTACTTGAAGTAAGTTTCCTGTTTATTTTTTTCCATCTTGGCTCATATAAAGATTAACATTAAATATCACAGAAGAAAAGGCTCTTAAGTTAACTCCATGTCTTTGTGATGACTATTTTGCAGTTTAATACAAGCTGCATATCACCTCAGATCATTTTGACAAGAAACACTGAAAAGATGTTAAACAGGCAATGAATGTGACATTGGTTTCTGATTACATTAGAAGTCAGATTCCTCGGGTCTAGTTCTAATGCTGTCCTAATATTCTGAGAGTCTGGGTTTTGCTCTATTTAGCTATAAAATGTGGATAATACCTAACAGGAACATTACAGGCCATAATGACCATTTCTGTGCTGCTGTCAGATGTCTTTGTTAATGGAAAGATGAAGTTCAATATACAATTTTATGCCAGCGGTGTATAATAAAGTGTCATAATTTTACTAATTTTAACAAAGTTGGGAATCTGAGGACTAGAATTAATTAACATCTACTTATTATCTGATGTTCTATCTTAAAGAAAGAAGGGTCGGTTGTTATGTCCTTCTTACCATTACTACTGGACAACAATTGGTTTGCTTTGTTACAGAACATGGAAAATCTCAATCCCACACCATCTCATGAGAGGATTGGATCTGATCATGTTGAACTGATGTCTGATGGAAGGTAATTTTAAGAGTTTTCTCCTAATGCCATTTATAAGAATGTGAATAAACGTTTTTTTCACTTAGTGCAGTGTGCATTAAAAGAACTAAAAACATGAAATTAACAAACTCTATATTTACCGACAGCATTTTATAGCAAGGAAAATGCTTTAGAATGGGAAAATCTACTATGGTGCTATTAAAGATAGATAACCATATTCATGTTTTGTGTTGTTTCTAGTTTTTAATTTTTTGTTTTGTTTTTTAATTTCATAAGAATTTTATTTAGAGCTACTGAACTTCTAAAACAAGTAAAATTATAATTTCAGTGAATGAGAAACATTATTGCAAAACAGAATGACAGTTTGTATTTTGTTTGTAGCAGAGAAAATGAAAAGGACAGCAGACAGATCCAGCATTTTGAGGTGAGTATCTACCAAGTAAGATTGTGACTGTGACAGGACTGTTCTTATGTTCTTGAGAGTCCTTGTGAATATTTATTGGCTTATCAATAAGAGGTGGATAAGATTAAGTGACAGGACTTTGGTTGTTGAGAAAGGCAAATACTGAGACATAAAAATTCCTTGAGAAATCCTAAGAACTCTCTCTATTCTTTTGGGCTTTTTTGAATTCTTTTATTTGACTTGGGAAGATAAACTTTAATACCAGAGAGATTTCTCCTTAGATTTTTACATAAAATAAGACAAAATGAAAGCCAATACTGGTTTGATTTACCATGAATTCAAGCATTTTTTTTAAGTGATTGAAACAGGTAATAGTGAATCATAGTGGATTTGTCACAGAGGTGATTTCATTAATTTTCAAATTAGCATAAAATCATTTCAAGTTATTAAATCCAATTCTTTCCCTGAGTTTTGTATCTTGTTTTAAGTAAATGATGGGGAAAATAATGTCTAACTCCCTTCTATTGTCTGTATCTTAAAGTTTCGGTGACTTTCCCAGCTTCCCTGTTGTCCTCTGATGACACTGCCTTCCTGACCCAAGTATTTTATTTCCTTTGCTCCCAATGCTGGCTTCCATTCAATGTGCTGAGATTCATTTTTCATTCATGCTTGTGTATATAATTCGCTACTTCCAAATGCTTCCAACTGCACCTTCAGTCTTATGATCAGCTTTCTTTTTGGCAAGAATTAAAGCAGTTTTCAACATGTTCTTGGATTCTGGCTCTTGATATGTTAATTATGCATAGAATCCCCCCTCTAACCACTGATTCCTAATCTTTTCCAGGCAGTAACCTAACTCACTGATGGGTTGTTCAGTAATATATATATTGAGTCCTACTATGTGCAGGTAGTGTGCCAGGAGCTGGGATGTAATAACTGCTTCAGTTCCTACCTCCATAAAGTTTTCCAGTCTAGAAAGTTAAGAATTTGAAAGCTATGGACCCCCTTCTGAGAAAAATGCACACTTATGTTGAATTTGGTATAAAATTGCTGGAAATGAATGGCCACCTGACACGACCACCCCCCAATTCTCTAGATTCCTCATATTTCCTCTTTGTCATCTGTCACAGGCACTTCTTCATTAATCCAGCCAGACAATAGGAGGGGAGGCTTCTCCCTGACTTCACAGCTTCTGAGCCACTGCTTTCATCTTTTATTTCCAACTCCTTTATGCGTCCTTCCTTGGGACCCAGGCAAAAAGCAGACCTTCTTTCTAGTCTCTAGTCACCGTTTTTCAGAGCACAGTGTCCCTGTGATACTGTTTTAGTTTCCTTCTGTTTCATCCTTTTTCTGTTCCCTTCCTCTGCTCACAACAAGCACCTACTCATCATGCCATTGAACATTATTTTAAAGAAAATGGCTTTGCCAGCCTCCTGAAGAGGTATTCTCAGTTCTCCCCTTTTCTGCCTCTTATCTTTAGGAAATAAAAGGGTAGAGAGCAGCCTTTGGGATGAACTGTGTAACGTTAACTCATAAATTCCAAGTGGCACCCAAACAAATGCGTGCTGAACTCCGTTTGTCTTGGTGTTTTTGTGGACAGCTCTCACGGCAGATGCATCACAGGGAAAGAATCTCAAACCTTTCTTCCGTGGGCCAGGAACTATTCTTACATGTTTTGCCCATGTGTATTTACCAATCAGCACCTAGCCCACCGTTGGCACTTCTGAAGCACTCACTATTAATAATCATTGTCATCATGGTCGTTTCAGCGAGGAGATAAAATTAGGCAGTGAGTTAAAATCCAGACTAAGCTCTCCATGTCATCCTTCTTTCACAACTGCACCAATGGAGGGGGAAAAGGCATCACTCCACGAGATGAGGATTCTGTTTCTACTCATAACGGCATGTGTTTCCTTCACTGAAAGATACGTTATTATTGATGAAGGACTGTGAAAGATCTGACTTCCGTTTTTAAACCTCTTTCCCTTGCTTACAGTCTATTATAATTTCCTACATTTTAATATATGTAGCACTTTCTAAAACTTATGCAACTCAAATTGTCTGATTTTCTGGTAATACTGCACTAATTCCTAAATTTCAGAAATGAAAAGTGAGTCTAGAGGTTGGTTACCCCTCCTAGAATTCTGTTTAGCTGGTATTTTTTTTTTTCCACTCTCCTATAACATCAGATTTACATGCCCACTATGAATGGATATGGTAATGTTCCCAGTTTCATTTCCCATTAAGGCAGATATTGTCCTCATTAATATTGCCCTTTTAATTTTCCCGTGTAAATGCTCAGCTTCGTAGAAGATAACACAACAAATGACAGCTATGGCAGAAAGGTGATCTGTCTTGTTTGATGAGTATTTTCATTAGAATGAGAAATGTTAACCTTTAGTCTCAGGAATGCTCCTCAGAGGGATACACAGACAGGGAAAGGCCATCTTAGAGTCTGCTGCTCAAAGGCAAATGCAGGCAGAACTGTGACTTTATTTTTTAAATAATCATTTTGAAGCCTTAGGTATGTTTTTGTTTGAAGGCATGTATTGAAAAGTAAACAGGTCAATCCTTTGTTGCATGTCTTGTTAATTTCTTTTACCTATACACATCATCTTACCCAAAAGGAGACTCTGCTGAGGTCTCATATGGTCAGTGATGAGAGGAATCCTTTTCTGTTTCATCTGCATTTCTTAAAATGGTTTGTATTAAAATTCGTTTAGTGACACATTGGCAATGGGGGAAAAAATGTTAGAGTCACTTCAGAGTGCCAAAATTTTAATTGTGATTTCTTCAGCTAAGTTTTGGAAGGGTTGATGTTTTTATAAAATAGGATGATAAGTGCTGGACGAAATAGGATGACACGTGCAAGAGCTGAAGCCCCCTGTTCCCTGAGCATGTGGAGTTTAAAGACTTTGTTCTCTTGTTTGTTTTTAAACTCATTTGACAAGTGGAAGTATCCAGGAGAGAGGTCGTCCTTAAAAATAACAATTTCTAGATTCTGGAAGATAACCCTGAAAGAACAGGTTTTCAGAGTTCTGTGGAGTTTATGCTTTATGTTTCAGCTTGATTCCTTCTGACAAGCTAATTTCTATTGTTGAAGTATTTCATGTTTCCGTATAAAATCCAGAACAGTAAAATGATAACCTTATATTTAATCCTTTTGTCAGAAGAGCAAATCATGTAAAAGTTTTTAATTATGTGGAAGAGTATGCCATTATCTGGGAGAGGTCATTATAGTCAGAAGTTGAAGGTTAATGAAGTGTTAAATTCCTTCAAGATATTTTTACATTCTTTATGCTTTCTAAGCCTACTGCTTAGAAGAGCTTAGAAGCATACCTTTGATAACAAACAGGACATTCATAATAAACAAAAGACTATTTCCCTTTTTCTTATCCTGCTTCAAAAAGAGGAGAAAAGATAAGCATAAAGAAAAGATAATCAAGCATGAGAATTAATATTAGTTATCACAGGAGCTTAAGTGAAGGCTTGTATTTGCATTGAGAAGGTTTGAGATAAATTCTGAAATATCCTCATCAACAAGTATTTATGAAATGGATGACTCTGTTCTTTCAGCCTCACTGTATTTCATGGAAGCTTTAGGGTTTTGGAGAAGGGAATGACAACCCACTGCAGTATTCTTGCCTGGAAAATTCCATGGACAGAGGAGCCTGGCTGGCTACAGTCCATGGGGTTGCAGAGTCAGACATGACTGAGCACAAGTACTGGTTTTGAAACTAGAACCAGAAAGATTTGAAAAGCTCTGTTTGTTTAGATTCACTTCCAATTCCATCCAGTCTTGAAAGGCTACTGAAGCTTGGTAATTCCCATGAATTTGGGGAATTTGTTATGTTTATTTTCCTTTCTTGTCAGGCCAAACAGTAAATGTTTACACTTCATGTGCCTCTCCTGTTAACTTCTGTGGTTCCTTCCTGTGCACACTGCCTTGTGGAGGGCGCTGATACTGTCTTTCCCGTCTGGCGAGCTGTCCTGCCACTTCTATCCAAATCCTGTGCAGGTAGGGAGAAGGGGTGGAACAAACATTCACCAGTGATTTGAGGCCAGGAAAGGAGCGGAGGGCGGCAGAAGATGAGATGGTTAGATAGCATCACCGACTCAATGGACATGAATCTGAGCAAACTCTGGGAGATAATGAAGGACAGGGAAGCCTGGCGTGCTGCAAGCCATGGGGTTTCAAAGAGTCAAACGTGGTTGAATGACTGAACAACTACAAGAAGGAGCAGGATGAGTGACGTCCGGCCAGGCCCAGCCAGACAGGGGCAAGTCTTAACAGGAATCAGGTGGATAGACTGGTAGTTATTGGCTCCTTGACCTGACCGTGGAATGTAAAGTGTGGCCCCAGGCTAGGTGATCTCTCCCCTGTTTGCTCCCTAGCATCCTTTGCTTTTCTTCTATAACATGCATGTGACTTGGCGCTTATATGATCAGTGAATCCCTTCCACTCTGAATCCCCTGTCGTGTTAATTCTTGTAATTCCAGTGCCTAGCACATAGTATGTGCTCAATAAACACTTCCAAATGAATGAATGGGCAAGGGAGGTAGTGTATAAATGGAATTAGCATTTCTTCTACAGTTATGACAAGCTAACTCTTTTTACACTCCATATTTTTCACTTTATCTTCCCGACTGTTTAAAAGTTATGGTCCTGTATTAGAGAAGAAGAATCTCAAATACAAAGTTTACTCATTGAAGATCTTGCTGCTGGTCACCTGTGTTTGAACTCAGATCTCTAACTCTAAAACCCATATCTGCCATGCAGTGTTGTCTCTCCTAAGAGCCAGTCACTCAGTTTATTTCATCACATGAATATTTAGCGTATTTTCATACAGTGCCATGTTTGTGACAGGGTTTCGTGTGTGAGAGCACAAGAATCTCTGAGTTGAAAATTATGAAATGAATGCATTTACCTTGATTTAACTGAAGATACAATTTGTGTAAACAATGAAAGTTGAAACCAAAAGATATTCTTGGTTTTTAAGACTTTCCTTGACATTTGCACATTAATGATCTAATAGGAGAAACAGGCAATCACATAGACAGGCACAATGCTCCATGATAAGACTACTAGAGCGTGGGAAACAACCCGGCAAGGTGCCTCATCAGACAAGGTTGGCAGATATTTGAAGTAAGAGGAGTTTTGGGCTCATGTGTTGCTACAAAGCAGTATCCTTACTCCATGCACATGTATACCTGGGTCCACACCATCAGCCCCCTCTGCAAACACCAGCAAGGTGACCTTGTGAGCAGAAATTGGGAATCAGGTCTCCAGGTACTGCAGCAGACAAGAGAAAGAGCCCCCTGGAGGACTGGTCAGAGCACAGTAGCCCAGGGCCATGCCTGTAGATGTGCTGGTGAGCGAGCCCTGCCAAGTCTACCCACGGCCGTGTGAGCTCGTGTGGGTTTATGAAGGACACATCCCTCCCTTGCTGTGCAGAAAATCAGCCAGGGAGTCTGGAAGTTCATGTATATCAAGCTCATGTATGTATAGGTCTTCAGTGTGAGTGACGCCCTGTTATTTATGGCACAGTCCACATTCTTGACTGCAAATCCAGGGACCTCTTTGCTCTTCCTAAACATACACAAGATGACCATGCCTCAGGGCATTTGCACTTGCTTTCCTTCTTCCTGGAATACTCTTCCCTCAAAGAGTGTCTCCTTTGTGTCTCTGCTCACATGCCACCTTATTGGAAAGGCCTTCCCTGGCTACCCAATGTGAAATAGCAGGCCATGGCCCCTAGCTTCAGCATCCTCCTTACCCTGCTGTATTTTTCTCTGTAGTCTGCATCACTACTTGACTTCTTTTTCTTTATTAACTGTCCTCTTCTGTAAGATTCATTAGGACAGAGATTCATTTGGGCCACTGAAGTTTCTCCAATGTCTAAAAAACCGTCTAGCATGTGATAAGCCCTCAAAATGATTTCTTAGAGGAATGACTAAATAAATTTTTTCTTTGTATCTCTAGCACTGATGTATAATAGACAGCCCTATTACATGTATATAATATGTAATGAATACTATTATAATCGAATGGTGGGAGTTTAGTCGCTAAGGGCTGTCCAACTCTTGCGACCCCATGGTCTGTAGCCCACCAGGCTCCTCTGTCCATGGGGTTGTAATTGAATAAACTAGTAAGGTTTAGACCTGATTCTCTTTGTTAGAATAGTAGAGTCCTGTGAGGCCGCCTATTCCAGTGTCCTACCTAGGGTGGTGCTCCCTCTCCTACATCCCTAGCTCCCAGACTTTGTGTGAACACCATGAAGGGCAGTAGTCCAATTCACGAGATAGTCCGCTGTTGCCTTGCACCAAAAGCTCCACCAGAGCTCCACAGAGCACAGTTGAGTCTGTTCCCCTAAATGTCAGCTCCTAAGTGCAGGGAGCTTGCACGTCTCACACAGAGTCCGGGATAGAGTGGGTGCACCAAACCGGGTTGTTAAAGGAGTGGATAAACCCAGACATTTTAAAGAAAACAAAAACTTAGGGAAAATTTTCTAACTAATTAATTTCCAGTTATTTTTTTTTTTTACTTTGAAATTGATGCCAATTCAGATGTGGCAGTCATAAAAAGTACATGTTTTAAGTCAGCTTGTGTGTCTGTGGAATTTGGGGATTTCCCACGTGTCCTGTCAAGCACTGCAGACTCTCAAGCTCTCTGAGGGGACATGGGGAGCAAAGCCAGCAGCTGGTGTGAGCAGAGGACACAGGTTGCCTGTGAGCCCAGCTCTAGGCCTGCAGGTGCTCCCAGCAGTGTGCATTCCCATGCCTAAGACATCAGCCTAGAAAATACACATTTCTCCATTACTAGTCTTTTTGTTTTGTTTAAGTATTTGTTTGTTTGTTTCATTGTGTGGCTTGTGGGATCTAGTTCCCTGACCAGAGATGGAACCCAGGCCCCCTACAAAGCAAGTGTGGCGTCTTAGCCACCGGGCCACCAAGGAAGTCCCCTAGTCTGTTTTTTAAAATCCTTCAATGGCTTTCCGTTATCTACCACAGGATAAAATCCAAACTTAGCCCAGCGTGCAAGGCCTCTGTCAGCCCAGCCTCTGCTCATCCAGCATGCATATCATCTGTGCTAAAGGCTGGCACCCAAGCCTCAAGCAAGAGTGGCCCTTTTCTCTAATATTTTTTCCTAGTGCATCTAAGACTCTGCCCTGCCTTCTGTTGTAGCACATTTCTCCTTGAATTGCAATTGCATAAGCCTCCTCTAACCCCTCTCTTGAGCGTTTTGAGAGGTAGCAATATTTTACTCATCTTCCTATGGTGCCTAAGAATAGTAAGAGGGATCACTTCCATTTGTGTGTCTGCCCCAGGCACCATGCTTAGAGGCCCTTTCTACCTCCTCTCAGATCTTCAAAGGAACCGTGCAAGATGGGTGTCATTAATGCCGTTTTATAGTTTAGGAAATGGAGGCTCAGAGAGGTGGGACGGCTCAGCCAGGGCACCGAGCTGCTCAGCTGCTCTCCAATCCCGAGGCTGCCTGGGGGGACAGCTCCGTCTGCTCCGCCGCCTCACGGGGTCAGTGCTTCACAGATGTTCCTGGTAAAGAAAGTGCCGTACTTAGACCATGGAATCCCGGTTTTTATATTCTTCCCTTTCTTCTATCTCTGAGTATAACAGGTATTAGAGCTCTTTGTTAAGGAAATGTTTCTTTGCTATGTGAGCTTCTGACACATACACAAATGGTTGGTGACTAACTGATGCTGTAACTTTTAAAAAGCTGAGTGCCAGATTGGGTCCTTCAACATGGGTCTCATTAGGATTCAGTTCAGGGAACAAATGATTTTCGTGGCATAAATACCTAATCTGTGTGTGTGTGTGTGTGTGTTTCCCCAGTATAATAGACAAGCACAATTTTTAAAGTGTCTTAAAGCCCCAGATTTACTTGGCATTTCCATCTGACTTTCATGAACTGATTGGTGATAATTCATTTTATCCCAAATGTGAAGAAAATGCTTCATTTCATGGAAATACAGTAGTAAAAGCCCTGACTATTCCCCTGGTGATATCAAAGTAGGTTGAATAGCTATTAAAAGGAGCTGGAAGTCCTAGTAGCGCTTTATTTTAAGCATAAGAACATTTCTCATACATTAACAGAATCATTTATGATTTCCAGATGTTTGGGTTTTTTTTAAATTTAATGATGATATATTTGCTAAAATAAATTTCCAGTTATTCTCAAAGAAAATCTTTTGTACAGATCTGTGCTACTGGAGAAATGTTTTTGTAAGGCAGCACTTTTGTTTACAATTTTGTGACAGGGGGAGTGTGACAATGGTTGCGTTTACTGGATGCCAAAAGAACAAGGTTAAAAAAGACTAAATTTCAGTGCATTTTTTAAAACATAAAATCACTTAGTTAAGATAGCCTTATGTTGAGGGGGAGTTTTCCCATCCCTCCGATGTCCTCGCCTGGTGCGGGTGCCACCAGTAAATAAAACCAAGGGTAGCTGAGTATTTAATATTCAGAGTAGATGAAATAGTAGGAAAATAAGTGACACTTGCATATTCGTAAGATATAAATTATGCTTTGCTGACTGGCCAGCTTTTGGCTTTTTACTTTAAAAAATATAAAAAGTCATGCTCTCTGTAATTTTGGCTCATTTCCAGAGTCCGTATTCCTTACAGCTAGCTGGTAGCTAGCAACACCCCCCCCCCCCCCCCCCCAGCTAGCACCACCCGTGCTGTTTGAATTTGCGCAACAATGCTTGAATACCCAGAGCTCCTCCATAAATAGTCTGTTCTCCCCACACTGTGGCGAAAACAGTCACAGGAAATCTGGGAATGTGCAGCTAGCCCCGCTTAATTGCTCTAAGCCTGCAGGGCCAGCCGGAGAGCACGCGTGTGCACAGCCTCTGCTCCTGGCCCTGCAGGACTGTTTACCTAAGGGGCAAAGAAGGCTGCGTGAGAGAGACACCATGTTGCTGCTACAGCCTTAGCAACAGTGGTAGCTGAGTTTTGGGTTGTTGTTTACAGTCTGGAGAGCCATACTCCTTTAAGGAAACACAAACTCCTCTTCCCTCCTTCCTGGCCCCAGTCAGTTATCATCCAGTCTGTCAGCTGCCAGCAGTTATCAGGAAGAACAGCCCTCGGAAATGATCTTGTCTTTCTCCCAGAAGAAAAGTTAAAGGCGCGCAGATGGACAGTTGCTTTTTGCATGCAAGTGACCAGCTAGCATCCAGGGGGCATCAGGCTATGATTTTGGTTTTCGTGCCGGGGACACCAGCAGCTGTGGCTTGGGAGGTTTTGTGCAGCAGAAGTGGAATTGCTGCAGACGTTTTTGGGTCTTGGTGAGCAGTAGAGATTTGAGGACGTTGTGCTGTTGTTGCAGAGCCCCACAATGAAGATCCAGGAGCATCCCAGCCTGCCTGACAGCAAGCTGCAGAAGACTCCGGATGCTGATGACCAGCAGGAGAGCTTTGTGTCTGAAGTGCCTGAGCTGGACCTGACCGCACTGTGTGACCAGAAGAGCTGGGAAGGTAAGGTCATCAGATATTTGGATGGTTTAATACTGGAGAATCATATGTAAATTAGCAGGAAGGAGAAGCATGTTGGGTGCGTGGGTGAGCGCGAGAGCAGTGTATGCAGAAGTAGCCACATTTCTAAATGACCGAAAATCCTTCCCCTGACATGGGAATGTGTCACGTTCGGTGTTGCCAAGAGTGATTGCAATCTAAGAAGGAAACTGTGCTTGCTCTTTATTCTAGTGTCACCTTGCAGCCCCTTTTTTTTTCTTTCCGATTTACCAGGAGTGCTAAGATGTGAGTGCATTTTCCCTCTAGGAGTACCAAGCTCAGTAACACAGAACTGGTGTGCATTTTGGATTCGTTGTCAGTGTTACTGACCTTCCTCCTGCTACATGCCAACGCTCTACCTTCCTCATTAAATCTCCTCCCCATTTTTCAAGAAGAATACTTTTGATTTGCTTTGCTTCTGTGTCTGTTTTTATGGATAAATTTTTAAAATCCAGGTTAGCAAACATAAAGAATCTGTTTACCAAAGAGAACACTGAATTAAAGTGCTTCATATTGAAAGCCTGTATTGTAGTTCTTGAGACTGGTCTTCCTAGAGATCTTTGACAGGTATGTTAGACATTTATCTCTGCAGAAGAGGAGGGTATCTTCATCTTCTCAAAACTGTATTTCAGGGAGGATATGCAGTAGTTCTCTCAAGCTGATCCATATGTCTGCATCCAGACATGTATCAGAGTGTCTCCATAATAAGTGCCCATCTGCCTCTAGACGGTATGTGTGTCTGAAGGTACAGAAAGGGAGAAATTGTGCTCCTGAGTTCAGAGCCGTGGCCTTAGTTAACACAATGACGTAGAGAATCACAACTGTTAAAATAAAAAGTCAGAAAAAAAAAAAAAGTCTTTTTCAAAAGCACCTAAATTTCCTTGTCTTCTGCCCCAACCTCTTTTTTTTTTACCAAAAAGTATTCATTATGTTAATGATCTTAAGATGATCTAAGAAGGCCACAAGGTGAAAAATAGTAGCACCATGATACTTCTCGAGTCCAGGGCTTCAGTGAAATGAAATCAAAATGTTTTTTATTCTGATTTTCCCTCTTTGCAATCTAAGAAACACTTTCCAGTTTGTTTTTTTTTTTCATGTAATAAGGTGGTGAATCTGAGATTTTTGTCAGGTCTTCCCAGCTATCCACTGGGGGGGAAATTCAAGGTTTTTTGTTCTAAGTGATACATTCCAGGGTAGTATTTGTTGTTGTTCTTTTCTGTACTTTGAAATAATCAGGTGTGCTTTTAATTCATACATTAAAAACAGCCTACCCTGCCAAGGTCCCATGGTAGCCACTGTTGCCCAAATAAAAGAAAAAAACAGCAGTAGCCAAAACAAATGCTCTGTTTGGGCTTCAAGAATATGGTCTCCTCATATCATTAACATACAGCTCTAGATTAAAAGCTCTAGGATTTTTTGGTCAGAATTCAAATTGGCCACATTATCTTGATGATTTATTCAGGAAAGGGGCTAATAGAGTCTCCTCTTATTGAAGCAGACTGAGGTGTTGGATCTTTTTTTTTTAAATCATAAATTTATAGTCCTTTCCAACACACTTAAGGCTAATATATAGCCTTAAGACTAAATATAAAGCAGAAAAATCTCTCCAGACTGGTTGAAAGCTAGCTTATAATTAGAACTGTTTCATTACTTTATATTAGGAACTTTCTGCCAGATAATAATACGAGGGAAATAACATTTTGTATTGGGAAACTGGGTGAAATTTTTAAAGCTTATGCCAAGAAAAAAATACATTTTATTAGGATTGTGTTATCCATATAACTTACAAAATTACTTGTTTTAACTTTTTTTTTTTTTTTTGCCAGTTACTACATTTGTCATTGAACTTGCATACCTCAGAAATCTACATGGTTCCATTTCAAAGTTGTTTTGATTGTTTGGTTAGTGCTTTCAGTATATTTTTATTTATTTATTTTAAGTGTCCAAGTTACATTTTAGCAGTAATACAACTGTAAGTATAGTCAAAATAAAGGAATATTTTGCATGAAGGATGGTTAAGCTGAGGGCAATCATTTAAGCCACTGAAATATCACTTTTTTCTATAGGTTTAGTGAAAAACAAAATGGTCACTCCCCAGTAAGGAATAAGGTTTGTACTAATTTAAACTGTGCAACCAGTGCAACAAAATATATAAACAAAAGTGATAGTTACCGAAACCATGTGAACCAGTATCCGTCTATAAGTCTCCATCAGTAGTATCCGGACCCCCATATAGTGTAACCAACTCTTTCTGGTTTGTTTGCTTGTTCTCCATGCCCACGCCATGGGTCATACTCTCTCATGCATGTAGAATAACAGAATATCAGGTGAGAGAGTACTTAATGAGCGACCTACAGGTACTGCCCACTACAGTGTATGCTTTCACATGAAAATGATGTTCTGTGGCTTCCGAAGCATATGGTATTAGGAAAATAAAAAGAAAAATGAAGCTGTTAATAAGTTGCATAGACAGAGTGGAACCCTCTCAAAGTGAATGGAGGATCAGAGTCCAGTCCCACTCATTGACAGATAAGTAATACACACTTGATCTTTTTTCCTCTATATGTAGCTGTGTATTAGGGCATATTATTTGATCTGTCCACATGAAAGCATCATTATCATCACTATTACTAGAGTTTGCACTCTCTAAAATTAAATGAACACCGAAATCAAATGAACTTAGTTATTTAAAGCCCTTGAAAGTTGCATAATTAAAATGTCCATAATCAGCCAATTCATGTCGATTTAGGGACACCCTTGTGGAAGCACTGAGATATAAACACTCAGCTACTCTGTTAGATTTGTCCTGGTGAGATCAAGTTTTATAGAACATTTTTTATTTTATTTTTTTATAGAACATTTTTTAGAGGATATAAAGTACTTCAGATATCTTATTCATCACTTACTGCTTATCTTATCAAAAATAACTGTGGGCAGGAAATTCTCTGTAAAAAACATTAGAGAAGCAAGGAATCTTAAAGATCTTACAGCTGAACCCCCTCTTATTATACAGCTAAGAAAGCTGAGGCTAAAAGAAGCAAAATGATGATTCAAGATCACAAAGTCTCCTGACTTCCACCTAAATGCCTCTTTTAAGCAATGCTGGTTCAGTATCATAGAAGGCAGTAGACTATGATGGTTAAGAGGCAGACATATGGAGAGTTCAAATTCTGGCTCTACCACGTAACTAGCTTTGTGGTCAAGTTAGCAAGTGGTCAGCAACTAGCAAGTGGTCAGCAGGTCTCAACTGGAGACGTAGTACATAATAACAAATAGGGCTTCCTGGGTGGCTCCGTGGTGGAGAATCGCCTGCCAATCCAGGAGTTGCAAGAGATGTGGATTCAATCCCTGAATCGGGAAGATCTCCTGGAGGAGGAAATGGCAACCCACTCCAGTAGGATTACTCGGATAATCCCATGGACGGAGGAGCCTGGTGGGCTATAGTCCATGGGGTTGCAGAGAGTCAGACAGGACAGAAGCAGCTGAGCAGAGCACCGCAGTAGTAGTATCTACTTAGTACGTTTGTTACAGGGATTATATGAGCTAACACACGGAGTGCTCAGCACAACCGTGTGATGGACACTCTGTGTTATTTTGGATTGACGAAGCTGGCTAATAAGGTTCTGGTAGTTTGTGATGAGACTGTTAGAACAATTTAACAGAACAGTCATTGTTCTCAGGTTACATTTTGGAATTCTAAAGAAAATTTTGTGAAAGGATTTTCCCAGTAAAGACCCCCCCACCAATGGGGTTTCCATGTCCCTGTATCTGGGATGTAAATGTACCTCCAGCATTACTGAGTAGCCTCCTTGGAAGACTGTATGACAAAACGCCAAGTAGGAATGACTCTGAGTAACACATTCGCAGTTAGAAACGAGACATGGAAAACAGCAGCTCCCTTAATTCTGTGCAGATTTCTTAAAGAAAAATCATCTCAATAGCTCGTTTTCTTTTGTGTTTAAATGGATCCGGCCAGCTAATGCAGAGAGGAGCTGCGTCCCGGTGATCGCATTAGCATCCGTCAGAGCTGCATTCTCTCCTCCCCAGTGAATCTCCTTTATTTCCATATGTGCTGTAGGGGCTGAACTGGAAGTCCCCAGGGACCTATTCTTTTTTATTACTTACGTAGCAAGCATACAGCTTTTTTCTCTGTTTTTTCTGACCTGCTGGGATAGCAGCTAACCTGGGCAGATTAATTTTTAATAGACGTGCCATACTTATGTCCAGAGTTCTTTTCGACCAGACACACGGCTAAAATCAAAACCACCATATCCAGGGAATTCTGGTCTAGATAGGAAAACACTTTTGTTTTACGGAGTCCTTTAAGATGAAAATCTAATTTGAAGCCTCAAATGTTTTCTCTTGTCCCTTTGAATAATTATCTTGCAATATCCTTGTCTGTTTCATTGCTCTAGAATTACTGGTTAAAATGTAAACTATTTCCCAAGCCCACAATTGGGAATTGTCAGTGAACACATCCTCAAATTGACTCTCTATGCAGGTGGGTAATGCATAGGACATACTATGATGGACTGTGTTGTTCTTCTCAATTCAGTCTTATTCTGTTTGAGCACCAACTATCAAAACATGAGATTAAGAGAAAAAAAATGAGATAGCCTTGTATTCTTAGAATATTTCAAAACAGAGGAACAGTTGGTCTTACTGAATCTTTCATTATATTGAATTATGTATAATTTTGTAACTCTTTTGAATAGGAGCCCTAAATTGTAAGACTGTATAGAATTAAAAGAAAGAGGAAAGAGAGAGAGAAATCATATAAGCATTTCCAGATGCATAGGTGAAAAATTTCACTTCTGTTCTACCTGCAGCTAATGATGAAATATTTATTTTTACTTTGACGTTGAAATTCTTAATGCTATTATATTTCTAGTTTTTAAAGTAATGAATTTCTTAGAGATTATCATACTAAGAGAAACGTCAGACAGAGAAAGACAAACCAGTTATATGTGGAATCTGAAAAAATGATGCAAAAGAACTTGCTTATAAAATAGAAATAGACTCACAAACAGAAAACAAACTTACGGTTATCAAAAGGAAGAGGGGGTAGGGAGGAATAAATTAGTAGGAGTTTGGGATTAACAGATACAAACTACTGTATATAAAATAGACAAACAACCAGGATCTACTGTATAGCACAGGAAATTGTACTCAATATCTTATAATAACCTATAATGGGAAAAGAAAAATATTACATATATATATATATATGTGTGTGTGTGTGTGTATAAAACTAAGTTACCTTGCTCTATACCTGAAATTAACACAACATTCTAAATCAGCTATGCTTCCATTAAAAAATAAACAGAATCATACAGTAAAAATTTAAAAAATGAATTCAGTAAACAGTGTCACCCATAAGCTAGAATTTCTTCAGAATTTCTGTGTACTTCATATATACCACTGGTGACACCAGGAACATGGCACATCTGGTTTTCTTGTCAGTGAAGTGATGGATCAAGAATGGAAGCCCAGAAGACGGCTGCATTAACAAAAAGGCAGCCTGACGGATGGCCCCATGTTAGCCACAAAGCATCAAACAAGCACAGTTTAGTTCTGTCATTAGTATTTTGTAGTTAACTCAGGATCACAGTTTATTTTTTACCAGAGACATGCTTGGTTAATGGTCATAAACACGTACTGTGTTTTGCAGAAATGGTACATAGAGTCCACATAGTTCAAAACTCAAAGATTAGTTGTACCATATTTTAAGAGCTATTCTGCTAGATTCAGACAGATGAACATACTTCAGGACCTAAAATAACACCTTTCAAACTAAGGTTTGATGCGCAGAAATGTCAGACTAGCCAGCACAGCAGCATGCCAGCACCAGCATCAGACTTCGTTTTCCCTGTGCCCTTTGTCCCTGTCAACCACCAAAGCCTCCCCCTGGGTGGACCACTGCCTTCGGCTTGACTGTTCAAGCCATCTTAACCCTTTCCCTGTCCTGGCTCCACTGATTTTAGTCCTTAGAGAAAATTACTGCTGTCCTATGAAGTAGATGTCATCTGGTTGGTTTAATAGTTCCATTTTCTGCAACTGCACACTACATTCTTATTATTTTTCTACGGATTACTTTCCACTCACCCTCTGCTTCCCTCATCCCCCCTCGCTTCTCAATTACTTTCACTTTTTCTTGTCGACAGTTCCAAGCTGCTCATATCTAAGCCCTGCCACTTGGGAGGAGCCAGCCAACCGCATCAGTATAGATGCTGAAACAACTCCTGTTTATCTCCTGCTGTAGCCAAGTCTATTCTCTGCCACTCTTTGAGACTCAGTAGGCAGGACTCTGTCTTTAACATGCTTTCTTTGTTTAAAGTATTTATATTGTCATCTGTGTTATAAGATGACTTGGTTGTCTTTAAATTTTGAGAACCTGTGGACCTCATTCCACATGAGGTTAATTTTTTTTTTAAATTAATGTGCTCAAGTCTTACTACATTGTGGGATCTTAACATTTTTAAGACAGTCATCCTTGTTCCTGAAGCGCCTGGCACATTCTAAATTGAAGCACTGTCCGGGAGGGCAGGAGACTTGAGTTTCTAGATCCAGCTCTTATTGCTGGTTAGGTATTTGCTCTTGAATTCCTTGGGTTTCAGTTTCCTTATCTGTAATTGTTGAATCAAAGCAGTAGTTCTCAAACCTGACTGAATTATGATCACTTGAGAAGTTTTTTTAAGGACTATGTGTTTATGTCTCACATATCTGGACCCTCACCTACAAATTCTGTCTAATTGGGTGGTGGTATGAGACCTGTATGTTAGAAAAGAAAAAAGTGAAAGTCATTCAGTCTTGTCCGACCCTTTGCGACCCCATGGACTATACAGTCCATAGAATTCTCCAGGCCAGAATACTGAAGTGGGTAGCTTTTCAACCCAGGGATTGAACCCAGGCCTCCCGCATCGCAGGTGGATTCTTTACCAGCTGAGCCACAAGGGAAGCCCAGGAATACTGGAGTGGGTAGCCTGTCCTTCTCCAGTGGATCTTCCCCACCCAGGAATCAAACTAGGGTCTCCTGCATTGCAGGTGGATTCTTTACCACCTGAGCTATCAAGGAAGCCCAAGCCATCACGGAAGTGTGTTAGGAGTTATTTATATTTTCCTCTGTGACCCTGAGGTGCAGCCACAGTTGAAAAGTCACTGGATTATTTGTTGTATGAAGTTTCAACCAGCTTTAATGCTCTGTGATTACTGTATGATTTTTTAAGTAAAATACTAAGTAAGCCCTTGTTTAAGATGATTTTGTGGATTTTAGAAATACTTTGATAGCTGAAGGAGCAATTGTTCCATGAATCAAACTGAGGGAATCCCAGAATTTAAGATCATGGCTAAATTCCAGCCTTGTGTAAATTGCAATATCCACAAGGGTATTTAAGACATAACCTTTTTTATAAATGATGAAAGTATTACAAATGAAATACCATACATCACCTGAGATCTATCCTTAAAATATGTTATATAGGATTTTTTTAATGAGGAAAAGAACACATGAAGGTAGGTCTCGCAGTAAAAATAAATGCCATCCTATTCCCTCACAAAGTGAAAAATCAGGATTTTGTGCTGTCTGTTTTTTCTTCAAGATTGTCTAAAATAACTCATACTGATTTATTCTTTTTTATTTTTGACTATTTTTATGCATGTTTCTTACTTTAACTATAGTCTGATGTTGTTGTTCAATCACTCAGTCATGTCTGTCTCTTTCGACCTCATGAGCTGCAGCACGCCAGGCTTCCCTGTCCTTCACGGTCTCTCGGAGTTTGCTTAAATTCATGTCCATTGAGTTGATGATGCCATCCAACTTAAGTAGCCTCTAAAAGTTCCAAATACAGAGCATGCATTTTAGACATGCTAAATCCCAACACACTAAAGCAAAAGCATACAAAACAGCTTGTTGAGTGACCTCAGCAGAGGCATAACCTGAATCAGTGGACTCTCCCAAGATGAATGTGATTCCTTAACCCGATTCCCTAGTTGTATCAGTGAAGGATGTCCAGCCATGATGCCAAACCCCTTGCTCACAGACACGTAGGCGTTTCTGTTCCATAACGCCCTCAGGTGGAGAAGTGCTCCTCAGTGATCTGCCAGGAAGGTTGGAAGCTCACTTTAGTGGCTTTTCCTCAGGGCAGCCCTAGCACAGTAACTTTTGAAAGCAAATGAAGGTGGAGATAAGAAAATAGATGATGACTGAATCAGATAGATTCGCTGATTCAGGTCAGGGCAGTGTCTTGAGTCAGAACCTTCCATCTAAAATGTGAAGCTGGGAATTCCCTGGTGGTCCAGTGGTTAGGACTCCGTGCTTCCACTGCAGGGAACACAGGTTCAATCCCTTCGGGGAACTAAGAACCTGAATGCCATGTGGTGCAGCCAAACAAATGAGCTAATAACTAAGTAAAATGTGAGACCGTCCAGTGCCTCCTCAATTCAGTGCCTCCTAATGCATTCAGAAAACTTGGGAGACAGGTGTGCTTTGAAGACCAATTTTGCCCTCTTGCCCCTGCTCTTTTCCAGAGCCTATCCCTGCCTTCTCCTCGTGGCAACAGGAGGCCGTGGACGCTGACGAAGCGCGCCTCTCCCCGCAGGCCGGGCGCCTGATTCGGCAGCTCCTGGAGGTGGACAGCGACCCCATGCTGTCCCCCCGCTTCTACGCTTACGGGCAGAGCCGGCAGTACCTGGACGACACAGAAGTGCCTCCTTCTCCCCCCAATTCGCACCCTTTCATGAGGTGTGTTTCTTTGTGTTGCTGAGGCACAGAGGTTCCATCGTGTAACTTTAAAAGGGAGAGGAATGTTACCCATGGCTAGTCATGTTTTTCACTAGGTTGTAAGTGTATCTCCATCCAAGTGCACAGGCTCTGTTGTAACTTCACACATGACCTGTGACCCGACTACAGCATCACCAACTGAATCTCCGTTAGTGCCTCCTTCCCAGAGCTCTCTCAAATTTAGCTGTGAAGTCCACCGTGCACATTTCAGTCCTAGCTTTGCCAGGCGTAAAGGCGAGCTGGAGAAGATTGGGCGTGTTTAAAAGGCAGGATATACAGAGCTGAGGGTCACAAAATGTGATCGCAGCGGGCTTGCTTTTATTTGAGAGGATAGCACCCCCCCCCCCGTACCACACCCCTCGCCCCCCGCGCCCCTCCCAGCAGGCAGTGGCCACCCCCGGGGAGCTGACCCGCCCTGTGCCCCTCACAGGCGCCGCAGCTCCTCTCTGGGTTCCTATGAAGACGAGCAAGAGGACCTGACACCCGCCCAGCTCACTCGAAGGATTCAAAGCCTTAAGAAGAAGATCCGAAAGTTTGAAGACAGATTTGAAGAAGAGCGGAAGTACAGAGTGAGTGCTCACTGGCTTCTTTCTGGACCCTCCCCCGACATGATGCCTCAGTGCATCGACTATTCAGAGAGGTGGTGACAGTTCAGGGAGCTTTGTAGGGAATCACGAAAGGCAGTAAACGCTGAGCAATGAACCCTGATAAACTCCAATATCACGTGTCAGCATTTTCCTTGCACAGGAAAATATCCTGTGCATATCCTTACAATGAATTAAAGGCTTTCACATTTGTCTTGTAAATTGATCAGTGATCAGGGATGGGGAAAATCATTGAGTGAAGTATTTTGTTTGGCTAAAACTTAATTCAGAATTATCTTCTAAAATTTAACTAATTCTGGTCTCATTCTTTTCTCAGCTCTATCCTTAGTATTTCCTACAAGAATAACAAAAAGACATTTTTCACGGTGGTTGTTGTGTAAAATATCATATACCCTACTGCTTTCTATCCTGTTAGGCTGAGAGGTTGAACCCTATAGATAATGGAAAAGAGGTCATAGACTCATGGAAGTCCATGACCCTAACGATCCAGCATTTTGTCTCTGAGGAATTCTTTGAAAGCATCAAAAATAACCAGGTATAAAGAAGGATAATGGAATTCTACCTGTGAAGTTGCTCTGATTAATCACACTTCATTTATTATTCCAGTGAAACTCAGCTTTTCCTTGCTGTTTAAAACAAATTGATCATCAAACTCTTCTGTCTCCTGCCCCAATTCCAAAACATTTACTCTAGATTTCCTTTTTGCAGCCTTCCCACAGCGACAAAGCAGCGAATCCAGAGGTTCTGAAATGGACAAATGACCTTGCCAAATTCCGGAAACAACTTAAAGGTAGGGAAAGTTCAAGACCTATGTCCTGGTCCTCAGAGGACAAGTCAAGTGCAGAAGCTGTGATCTCACTGCGTGCTGAGGCACTTACCCCTAAATGTTCCAGGAAAGACTGGTTCCTTGCAGCTGACTCCCAGGGCCCTCGTCATTCAGGGCACACTTTCTCTGCATCCTCCCATGGCCTCCATCACAGGGAAACCCAGATCAGTTAAGATGCTGAAAATTCTGCAGGATTTTTTTTTCCCCTAAACAACTAATCTAAGAATGATGGTTTCAATTCAACACTTATTAGGAACCTATTTAATCCAAGGTGTTATTTGCTATAGAGTTAGGAGACTATATAGAGACAGTAATGGCTATGAAAAGAATTCGGTCCCTGTCCCTCCCAGAGCTTGCTGTCGTTTAGGACGCAGAATCATGTAAACAAAGGAATAGAATACAAAGTGAAAATAATTCCAAAATGAGATATTTACATCATATGGAAAAGATTGGCCAACATTTGGGCGTTAGACCTGCAAATACCTGTAAATGTTATGGGATTCGGTGTGGGAAAACATCAGCCTCATTCTGAGAACAGCCTGCAGCATGGATGTTAAAGAACTAAAACTTTCTCAGGAATTAGGGTTAGGAAACCATGCCAGATAATACAGGAAAACATTATCATTTCTTAAGTTTAAGAAATAATAACCCAGGGATTTCAGCTAATATTATAATTAGATGCTTTCTGGGAGAAAAAAAAAAGACAAGACTAAGCACTTGTTAACAGCAAGAAAAACAATCTGGGTTCAGCAGATGTCAATTCCAATACATCTCCACCCCCAAATCTTTTCTCCTAGAGTCCAAACTGAAGATATCAGAGGAGGACCTACCCCCCAGGATGCGGCAGCGAAGCAACACACTCCCCAAGAGTTTCGGCTCCCAACTTGAAAAAGAAGATGAGAAAAAGCAAGAGCTGGTGGATAAAGCCATAAAGCCTAGCGTGGAAGCCACACTGGAATCCATCCAGAGGAAGCTCCAGGAGAAGCGGGCAGAGACCAGCCGTCCCGAAGACATTAAGGTGTGATTCTGTGATGAGCCTGAGAAACTGCTAATCCCAAACCATTCCAGTCACTGTGGGAGGGTGGCAGGGCATGCCCCGGGGTCCCAGTGGGGAGGGTGACGAGTCACACCTTTTTATATCTCCCTCACCTTCCCTTTCCACACATTGAGACTCCAAAGAAGCAGATGAAATAAGCTCAGAGTGCTTTTTAACTATAGGTCCTTTGGTTTGGACTGCAAATGGAAAGCAGGAAATCCTGTTGTACAGGTTACAGAATGGACTTGTTTCAGTTACGAGACAGTTTGGTGACTCTCTGAGGTAGGAGGATTAGAGACAAACCTTTGGGAATGTGTATCCTGTAACCGTATTCGTCGCCGGAGTCATTAGGCTAAGCCCCATGAACCTCACGGCCTGCTGATCCCAGTCCAGCATGCCTTTGCCACCACATGGGAGAAAGGAGTACTCATAGGTGATGATTCTGCTGTGCTGTGTTTCTAGCTGCATATCAGGAACAGCTAATTCCTAGCTTTGGATGGAGCTAGGGAGAGCTGTTGTGTAAACATTCTTTTTAACCTTACTTTGGGAAACTTGTTTAACTAAATAAAGCAGTTGCGATGTTCACAAATGTTTTCCCCTCTCTCATTTCTCTGTCCTTGTGTTTATACAGGATATGACCAAAGACCAGATTGCTAATGAGAAAGTGGCCCTGCAGAAAGCTCTGTTATATTATGAAAGCATTCATGGACGGCCGGTACGTGAATGCACTGAATTTTCTTTTTTTTTTTTTAAGTTATTTTTTTACTGGAGTATAATTGCTTCACAATGTTGTGTTAGCTTCTGCCGCACAACATGAATCAGCTGTCTGGACACATATATCCCCTGTCTCTTGAGCCTTCCTTCCACCTGTCCCCTCTTCCCACCCCTCTAGTTCATCACAGAACATCAAGCGGAGCTCCCTGTGTTATAAGCAGCTTCCCACTAGCCATCTGTTTTGCACATGGTAGTTTATATGTGTCAGTACTATTCTCTCTGTTCGTCTCACCCTCTCCTTCCCCGATTGGGTCCACAAGTTCATTCTCTACGTGTTCCCGCCCTACAAATAGGTTCATCAGTACTGAATATTCTGACTGGGGTAAATTACCAGGCTTTGAAGTGGATCTTCTGTGTTCAGTATTTTACAATTGAGGTGTCCAGATACTTAGATTACTATATATTTTCACCAGAACTAAGCTTTTTGAAGCCTAAACCTATGATAAGAGTTCCACTACCTATTAAGTGCTAAATTTAATTAAGTTCCAAAGAAAAAGCAGTTTGCAACTAAAATGTAGTCTCTAGTGTCCTGCTTCGAGTAGAAAATAGTGGAGGGGGGCATGAATTAGTACACAGAAGCTGAGAGTGAAGGAACATGCCTGCCCCTGAGTCTGCCCCAGTAAGCTGTCATCACTAGCTCTAGGCATTCTTATCCATAAAAGGAAGGTGCTAAGCTCCAGTGATCTGCCCTAAAATTCAGTTTCTTTTCAGTGCAGTTTGCAACCCGTGCTTGCTGAGAAGTTTCAGCTGCCATACAGAACTAAAACCGAGAGGAATCTAAAATGTGGCTTTAGAAGCGTTTGAGGCGATTTGTTATTCAGCAAGCACATTTATCTTCTGCTTGCTGTTAGTCCTGGGGGAGACAGTAGTTCAACAGGCCCTCTATTCCTAAGGGAACTCGTAATCTGATCTCCTTGTCAGTGACTCTTAGTAACCTTCTGTTAAGAATGCTGTCAAGAACCCAACAACACAAGTTCTTAAGAGCAGGTGTAAAGAAGCAGGAGGTGTATATTCACAGATGGACTTTTATATCACCAAAACGCACAGGCCTCTTTTCCAGTCTGTCATAGCTATGTAATGGAGAGAGTCTTTGCATCACAAATACGCTCTCTTAGCTGAAGAAATTTTGAGAATAGAGCACTGGACTACAAGAGCTGTGAGAGCAGGGATTCTGGGTTTTTTTTTTTACCTAACAGTAAACCTGGACCTCAGCATCTAGCATGAGACCTGATGCAGAACATGTGGCCAGTTATCTGTCTAATGAGCCTACTGGTATTTTGATTCTGAATTTATTAGGTTTAAATTTTTAAAAAAAAGCTGGAGTTGATGATTGATTTTGCTGGCCTGTCCCTACAGTGGAAAAATACTGGCACTCTGGGATAATGGTCATGTTTCAAGCCAACTGTTGTTTTGGATTTTTTTAAAAGGCATTGAACCAAACAGTAAATGCTCTGGAGCTCAGATGTATTGTGAAACTTCGTCCTTCTCTTCCGGGATATTCAGAACTTGCGGAGATAGAACTAATCCTCTTCTAACAGAGAGGAGAAACTCCTCCACTGAAGACTCAGCGCCTTTAGGTGTCAATCTCCTCAAGCCCCTAGGCAGGCCTCCGTGAAGGAGGTGGGGCCCGTGTGTCTTCCTTCTTTTCATTATATGGATTCAGGGTATGACAGTAATAGACTCCTTTAAAGACTGTCAGCTGTGTTGTAGTCTTCAGCTTGCTGCCGGAGCAGGGGGCTGTGTGCCGTGGTACTTATTGCTCCGAGGTGAGCACCGTCTCTCCTCCTGTCTGGACTGTGGCAGTCAGCAGGCCCTAGGCTCACAGTGTGTGTTGAGTCGCTCAGATGTGTCAGAATCTTTGCAACCCCATGAACTATAGCCCGCCAGGCTCCTCTGTCCATGGAATTTTCCAGGCAAGAATACTGGAGTGTGTTGCCATGCCCTCCAGCGGATCTTCCTGACCCAGGGATTGAACCTAGCTCTCTTGCATCTCCTGCATGGGAAGGCTGATTCTTTATCATGTGCCACCTGGGAAGCCCTAGATTCAAACCCAGCTCTGCTGAGACTGGCTCTGTGTCTCTGGGCCTCTTAGGTAACTCCCTAAGCCTCAGTGATTTGTCTGCGTAATAGATGTCTGTTACCATAGGTTGTCATGGAGACTGACATCACACACACACACGGAGACCTGTAGGCTGTCTGGCACTGATGGAGGAAGCAGGGCAGAGTGGCTTTGCAGGGAGTTAGGCGGGACTCCTGTAAATGACAGGTTTCTCTTCTGGTACTTACAGGTTCTGCCCTCTGCTGTCTACTTCCTATTAAATAATTGAATCAGGAGAAATGTACAATTTTTAGCTCTCTTACCGATAGGAATTTGAACCATTAATCCTTGGCCCTTTCTTTTATCATTCTTGCAGATGAAGGAACAACATTTCTGGGCTTGGATTCTAGCATCTCACAGGTCAGGGACACATGCTCCAGGAAGTTTGAGTGTCATTTATTTCTGGTCCCAGGTCGGGCTCTCTGCCTCTCTCTGGAACTTGATACTCCCGCCTCCTCAGGAGAAACAGAGTTCACTTGATATCTTGCCAGTCTGAAAACCAAAGAGTGAACTTTTCATTCTTAACATCTGTGATGTTGCCATGGACCCTGGACTTAAGAATAACATTTGGGCAACACTCTTCTTAAAAGAAAAACACAAGTGCTCCCAGGGCTATGCTGTCATTCCAAACCTTCGCTTTTTAGAAATGCAGGTGCTTAGAGCCTGGTGGATTTCTGCTAAGTCTGTAGATTCTGATATAAAAGGACACCAACAGTCAAAATCACCGGCCAAAACAGTCATGTACATTGTTTAATAAGGTTGTTTGCTTTATCCAGACAGACTGACACATGTATGAAAAACAAAAACACAGTCATCTACACACCAGCACATAATTCCCTGTGAATTATTATTAAAATGTGTCCTTTTCAACATGTAGGGGTCTCATCAGAAGACCACGTCCCAGAAGTACAGCACATAGCTGCAGCCCCCCCATGACCCCTTCTGCAGACCCAGATGATGGTGAAGAGGAGAGAGCGTGGGTGCATCTGCCGAACTTCAGGGTTCTCATTGATACATTTCAATCTTGTCTTTTAGAAACTGGGAAACTGGGCGAAGCATATCGTGTTCAAATTTAAGTCCAGATTCTAAAACCACATATAAATGGTATCATTTGTTTATCTGTTGGTTGGGAAGATCTGATCTTTGCCCAGTCAGCCCACTGTTGTTGCCTGATAATAAAGGAGGGACAGTCACCATTTTCTGAATCAATGGGACAAAAATGCAGCAGGTATAAAAATCCATCTCCTTTACCTTCTCCCACTGGCAATTTTGTGACTCAGAGATACCACCTCCACACACAGATTCGGAATATTTTTTGTTTTACTAAGGAGATCCTGGGGCAGTGTAGTTTCCTGACTACTGTAATTTCTTGCTATTGCTCAGAATAAGAAATCTCTGTGAACTCAATATGGGCAGAACTCTCAGCTTGGATGCAGAATTTTTATCTCAAGATGAAAACAAGATTCTTTATCTTAAGATGTCATCTGTATCTTAAGATGACAATTCTTTATCTTAAGATAATCTTGGCCAAACTCTGTTAGGGGAAAATGCTACACTATGACTTCTTTGGTATGTCTTGTGGTTACTGTGTTAAGATCCTCCTTGCTCATTTGTTAATGTATAGAAAACTGGATTGGGGGTCAGTCCACCTGCGTTCTTGAACCAGCTTAGTTGCCTTGGGCAGATCATTCCTGAGAGCTCTCCAGTGCTTAGTTTTATCATATTAGAAAGTAAGACTGTTTTAACTTTAATATTCCATGGTTCTAATGTTATCTCTTTCTTCAAGTTAGAAACTTCATTCTTTTTATCTTTCACCTTTGTTATACCATTCAGCTAACAGCAACCAAATCAGTATTTCTGTAGAGAAGCTTTATATGAGGCTAAGACGAACACCATCACAAAAGATAAATATGTTCACCTAATCAGGCTTTTGTGATTTCTGTCTGAGACTTGCCCTTACTTAAACATGGGTAATATTGGCTGGTGTTCCCGTTGTACTTTGATGTATTATCTGAGACTTATACAGCAACCAGTTAGAATAGTAAGAGAACAGTAGACAAAGATTTCTTTGCATCAGAAAACAAAGATTTAGTGGAAGGTGCTGCTTTCAAATCCATTAGATCTGCATATCCTAATTTTTAAGTTGTTTTGACTTGTATACAAAATTACATTTTAGTCTTAACCCTATTTGTACACATTGAAAGCCATTCAAAAGTACCACTTAAATGAAAAATTAAATAAAGACTTGAAGCAAGAAGAGTGAAATTATGTTGAAAAGACAGTATACTGTATGCTTGGCCTAAGGTCATTTTCAAACAGTTCAGGATCATAAAGATTTTCTAATCTGAATTCTACACTTTGCCTATCAAAAAACTGAGGCTCTGAGAAGAACTTCACTGGCTCCTTCTAAGGCCTGTTACTGGTTTTAGTGGAATCCCTGAGCAGCTGATGACTGGAGAATAAGAGATGTCAACTTCTGAACAGTTTTCCCACGGTCCAGTTAATATCAGCACCCCCTTTTTAACAGTTCAACCAACGGGCTGCTTTGTTTCTCTAACTGTTGGTTAGATTTTGACTCTGCTCTCAAATCCAGCACTGATAATTACATGAGACTTGGCTTGATAATAGGTGAAAGTTGTATTGAGTTTCAGTATCACCATACCTTTGGCTTCAGGCATTTATCATGAAAATAATTCTAGTGTAAATCAAGTGGTGTTCTTTCCAGACCTAAAGATCACTGATTTTTTGGTGTTTAGATAGCTCTATCAAATGCCAACACTGACTTATGGGTATCTTGATGAGTTTTGACTATTCATAGTCAAGAACTGGACTTGATCCGATCTCTCACAGGTGATAGTTCTAAACATCATTTTTTTTTTAACTATTATATTGGAGTATAGCTAGTTAGCAATGCTGTGATAGTTTCAGGACAGGAAAGGGACTCCACTATACATATACATTTACATGTACCAGTTCTCACCAAACTCCCCTCCCATCCAGGCTGCCATATAATATTGAGCAGAGTTCTGAGGGTCATTAATTTTTAAAAGGAGCAATTCATAGAAAATCTAAATATCAGTGTTATAAGCCAAATATGGGCTTCCCAGGTAGTGCTAGTGGTAAAGAGGCTGCCTGCCAATGCAGGAGATAAAAGAGGCTTAGGTTCGATCCCTGGGTCGGGAAGATCCCCTAGAGGAGGTCATGGCAACCGACTTCAGTAGTCTTTCCTGAAGAATCCCATGAACAGAGGAGCCTGGCTGGTTACAGTCCATGGGGTCACCAATAGTCAGACACAACTGAGTGACTGACCAGTACCACAAGCCAAATATTAGTGTAAGCCAGCTATCCTCTTCATCTACTCTAACTAGAAAATTTAGTTTTCGCACAAGGAATTAGAAAATCCATTCTGTCGAATTTTCCGTATCTGGCTAATTTTAGCAGTAAGTCTCCTTCCAAAATCCAAAGTCTCCTTTCACAATCCAAAAATGTTTCTGTGAAGCAACTGCAGTTGACCCTTGAAATAATGCTGAAGTTGGGAATTGTTCAACACTCAGCATAGTTGAAAATCTGAGTGTAACTTAGAGCCAGCCCTCTGTCTCCATGGTGTTGCCATATCCAACATTCCGAATCCATGGATGCAACCATGTGGTAGATTGTGTAGTAATACAGTATTTACTATTGAAAAAAATCTGCATATAAGTGGACCCATGCAGTTCAAACCCACGTTGTTTTAGAGTCAGATATAGTAATAGGATGCTAATCCTCAGTGGGGAAATGCTGGTTCCTTATTATTTTTATTTTTCATATGTCTTTTGGTCACTAAATATTTCACCACATGTCATATGTTGACAATTAGGATGTACCTTAATCTCATATGCAGTATATTTAGTGGGTACATCTGGTATTAAAAAAAAATTATACCTTGTGTTCCAGTTCTAAGTTTTGTCATTTTACATATGAGATTATCCAAGTCATTTATTTCTATTCCTCACACTTATTTGTGGCTATTGTTCAACTTCTCTTGAAGTATAAGTACAGAAAAGAGCCTAAATTTTAATTATATACCTTGCTAATTTTCACAAGATAGACAAATCCGTGTAATCAACCTCCTGATCAAGAAATTAAAAATGGCCCACCCTCTGAAAGCCCTTATCATGTCCCCTTCTAGGCAATGCCATGACCTTCCACCCCACCAACAAAAACTTGACTTCTAACCTTACAGATTTGATTTGCTTATTTTTGAACTTTATATAATTAGGACCTTACAGTGTATATTCTTAGGTGTCTGGCTTATTTTTCTTGGCTTTATTTTTTTGAGATTAATGCTGCATACAGCTGTATTCATTCATTTTCATGGCTGTGTAGTATTCAGTTTTGGAAACTTAAAATACTTATTCATTCTCCCATTGTTGGGCATATGGATGGTTTCCAGTTTGGTGGTGCTATAAATAGTGCTGCTCTGATCATTCTTTTATGTGTCTTTTGGTAAACTTTAATCCAGGTTTGTTTGATGTGTGCTTAAGGACGGAACTGATGAGTCATATGTTTAGCTTTAGGAGATACTGCCAAATGGTTTTCCAAAGTGTTTCAGCCTTGCCAGTACTGAGAGAGAATTCCAGTTGCCCAGCATTCTTTCTGACACTGGACACTGTCTTTCACATTAGCCATTTTGGTAGGTATGTTCTAGTAATACCTGTGGTTTGATCCTCACTTTTTGTGTGTGTGTGTGTGTGAAATAGTTCTTATGTTCCCTTCCAGTTCTAACAGTCATACTTTATGAAATAACAAATGTAAAACTCCTTTTACTATGACAGATAGTAAAAGCAAGAAAATGCCACCTCTTGATATTTTGGTAACAGAAAAAGACAGAAATAAGTTATTATTATTGCTTCTGGCAGAAAATGAATCCACAAGATGACAGTAAATAAATACCACAAGATTGGCAGTATCCTATCTTGGCTTGTGAGATTTATCCAAGGTTCACTTATTGTTGATCACTTTGAGAAAGGCAAATAAAAAAAGGCAGCAAAGGGTGATCAGTTCATGCATTATCCAGACTTATCTTCAAAGCTGAAGGCCCATAAGAGAGATGGTCAGAGCTAATACTGTTACCCTTCCTCACATCTGTAAGCCTTGCCTTATGTGTACAATGGAAATAAAATGCAGAAGAACAACAGTAAACTTGAAACAAAGATACATCATCTCTTACTCCATTTTAGTAAACAAATGCATACTTATAAATTTGGCATACCTGTCTATATTTGAAATATTCTTTCACTAATTTTGCAGACATTTATGTCATATCAGGCACTGAAATAGTTACCAGAACAGTTTATAGTTCTGGAGGCTGGAAGCCCAAGATTAAGGCACTGGTGTCTAGTGAGGGCCCACTTCCCAGTTCATAGCCAGCCATCTGTTCGCTGTCCTCACATGGCAGAAGGGGTGAGGGAGCTCTCTGTGGCCTCTTTTATAAGGGCACTAATCCTGTTCATGAGGGCACCATCTTCATGACCTAGTAACTTCCTGAAGACCTCACTTCCAAAAACCATCACATCAGGGATTCATTTTCAACTTATGAATTGGAAGTTGGGGCATGGAGGGAGGTGAGTTGAACATAAACATTCCATCCATAGCAAAGCATATGTGAATTATAAGATACACAGGCTGTATTAGGTGACTCAAAGGAGAGAATGAGCAGGTCTCCCAGAATGGGGCATGTTGGAAGAAGGCTGCACAGGGAGAGAGGTGGCTCTTGATCTGGAATTTACCAAACCAAAGAGCAGAGAGGAGGCCACTCAAAGACAGAGGGAGCTAGACAAGGAGGTATGACACTTCCTAGTTTCTTTCCAGAGCTTGAGTTAAAATGGGGAGGAGGAGAAGCTGCAGGTGATGAGGGGCTTCAAATACTATGCCAGGGATCTGGGCTTGTTTTCTCCCCATTGTCTATTAGAGTTGGTCCTTTAAACATTTTTGAACCCTGAGCCAGATTTTAGGGACACAGAGATGAATGAATCCACGTATTCTATCAGCATGTATTCCTTGAAAGCCTGTTTGCTTGCATTTGTCCCTAAAAACACAACACAGTTCCATAGGGGAGAGAGACATTTTTAAAAAATGATCACAGAACTTCAAGGTAAGTAGTATAATAGAAATATTAATATATGCTTTCTTCTTCCCAGGACCTAGAAAACAGTGAATCATCTGGAATTCTGAACCTTCCAGAATTTTAAATAGAAAACTAATAATAAATAAGGATCACAGTTTTGAGGAAAAGTAATACTTCTGAGGGAGTGATTTCACATGATCTGCAGCCAAAGTAGATATTTTAAGTTTTCATTGACTCATGGTGTCAGTTTAAATAAATTTTACAAGAGTGGTGAGTCTTCAGTTGAATCACCCGTTCTTTCTCTGAGTCCCCAGCATGCTCGGTCAGCATGGCCAATAGGAGCAGGCTTCTCAGCTCTCCTGTTCTTGCCTTTCAGGTGAGCAAGAACGAGCGTCAGGTTATGAAGCCACTGTACGACAGGTACCGCCTGGTCAAACAGATCCTGTCCCGAGCCAGCACCATCCCCATCATCGTGAGTACCCACGCCTGGTTGTTGACTGCCTGGCTATGTTATTGGGGCACTAACTTGCTTTCTCACGAAGTAACAGTCTTTCGTAGTTGAACCTGTCATTAGTATCAGTGGCCCCTAATCTTGAGGGATGAAAAATTTATCAGAGACTTCTGAGGTGACATTTGCCAAAAATGAGCAAGTCTGAAGCTGACAGAATCTGTTCGCCTCTTAGGTGCACAAGCTGTGGCCGTACGCTTCCATCTGACATGTGCTGGGTCAGCTCCCCCACACTTTCCTTAGAGACAGAGCATCCGGGAAATGGCTGTGCTTCCCCAGGGGCCACTGCACCCAGAGTCCCTCTCTGGTCTTAGGGGCCTGGTTAGTGTTCTTCGCTCAGCCTCCAAGACGGAGATCCGCCCTGCTGGAGTCATACCCAGGGAGAAACCTCTAAGGAACTCTAGAGAGGGAACTGCTTCTTTTTGGAGATGTAGGAAAAAGTGAGGTAAAGAAAAGGGAGAGCAGGTAGCCGCTGTGAACCACGTTCAGTGGCCTCCATCCTTGGACTTCACTGCTTTTGGCCTCTGAATTGGGATTTTGTCAAGAGGAGGGAGCAGTGACTGGCCCTCAGTTTAGGAAAAAGCCTTTCAGGCACTGGCCAGCTTGCCCCATCCCCAATGCCGGCCCAGCTGCGGGGGTAGTGGTCCTGCCCTGTCCATCTCGTGGGGGGACCTCTGCCTCGGTTTCAGTCCTCTTATCTCCCGGGACCCTGGGGGCTTCCTCTGTTGGCCTTTAGACTTTCTAGCCAGCAGATACGGCCTCGCTTTTATGTTGTTGCTGAAATGCGTATTCTTTTTAGCTGCTGCTCTTCTATTTCTGCTTTATATCTTGTTTATTTCTAGGCCCAAGATGTGCTCCTTGTATGTCTTTTAACAGTGTATTTGTTCAGACAAACAGAGGAGGGTTCAGGGACCTCAGTCAGGTGTGTTTGGAGAATGCTACCTTTCTAGAAATTTCCTGCAGAATAAATCAGTAAACTAACCAACAAAAGGATTAAAGTTAAGGAACCCTTTTCATTCTCCAGTCAGGAGCCCTTAGTGGCCTGAAATAGGGTGAATATACGGCCTCTGTCTGTAACGTTTTGCGTCACTTGATGAGCGTGCATCATTATTAGCTGTTCTGGAAGCTGTGGTGACCAGGAGGAAAGAGGGAGGAGGCAGGAGTTTTCCGTGTGTTTGGCACATCCTCGTGTGCCATCCTTGCACCTGCGTGGCCTCTGTGGTTGGTGGGGTGGGCGGGCAGGCTCTGAAGTGAAGCAGCCAGTTGGAGGAGAACTTTGGTTTGTTTCTGGTTTTCTGCCATGTAACCTGCCTATTAACACCTGTCGCAGGGTTCCCCCTCCAGCAAGCGGAGAAGCCCTTTGCTGCAGCCAATTATCGAGGGCGAAACTGCTTCCTTCTTCAAGGAGATAAAGGTGAAGACCTCCAGCTGCTAACCACGTGCTACACCTGCACCAGTGTCCCCCCCACGTCCCTCCCGGGGAAGGAAAGGCGCTGTGATGGCGCCCCCTGGTGACGGCTTCCTGCAACCTCCCCTAAAACTCAGTAGCTGCTTCTGACCAACTTCAAACAATCCTCTTTAATTTATGTTATAGGCCAGCTGATCTCCTTCATTTCATTTCGTTCCCTCACTGTTTTGTATGTTGCTGTTTGTTTGCTTTTTACTTTGCTTGCGGGGATCTGTCTTGTTTTACAGTGTTTTTGTTTCCCCTCAAAGGAATGGATTTTCTGTACTCTGAAATTTTGTCAAAATAACTCATTGGATAACTTTCTTTTAAAAAAATCTCATTTACTGAGTTTATAGAAAAAGCAAAATTAACAGAGGCAATATATGTAGCATGTGATAAAAAATAATGATTTGAGAGATAAAAAGCTTAGTTTTCTTTGACAGATTTGCGGGTATAGTTTTATCCACTCTCCTCCCTCTTGCCTTCCCCCTGGCACATTTCGTCCTCGGTGCAGATTTCATAATCTGTTCTTGATCTGTGAATGTAGGCCTGTGACAAGCAGTCAACTAGAATACATGCTCTAATCTTCCCCAGCAGGAATCATGGATCGTACACAGATAAACCTTGTCCTCAGTGGCTGCTTTTTGCTAGAGTGGGGGTACCCTCTGTGTCCAGAGAGTTGTATAGATCTAACTGGCCTGGACTAGAATCAACCTCTTGAATATTTTTGTTTCTAGACAATTGCACACACTGTCTGCCATACACAGGGCTCTAGATATGAAAAGACAAAGATTTTTAAAAAATCAGTGATTGTTTTTTAGCAGTTAAGTCAGAAGCAGCACCAGGCAAGAAGTGAGTTTTAAGAGTTTCACTTTTGTCATATTTCGGTGACAGCCTCAATCCTGGGGTGTCATTTATTTAATGAACTTAGAATTATTTCAAAATGTGGGGGCCTTGTTCCCATAAGAACCACTCCATTTTCTTGCCTGATGCTCCCACTGTATTTGAGGTAGGGAACCAGAGCTACAAAGCCATCTCTTCTCTTCACTCTGTTCCTCTTCTTACCTCTCAGGGGTCTTAACTACCTCATAGCCCTCACTTTAAGGTGTTAGATAATGATTGTGCTCCCTATCCATATTCTTTTTAACAGAACTTATTTATAAAAAATTCTGTAAGTGTGAAATTTAGGCAAATTTGCTCCATTGTATCTTCAAAATTAGAGCCATTTTCTCACAATAAGACTTGATGTTAATGAAATAAGACAAATTTTGTCTAGCTGATCATTTCACACAAGAATTAAATCACCATAACAAAAAATGTGGGTGATTGTGTGCATGAAAACCAGCATATTTCTCTTAGGAACTTGAGCTAAACTGCTCCTAGATAAAAATGTGTTCTTTAACACATCCAAAATATGACACTTAATAATTACCTCATGAAACAAATGGTAGATAAATGAATTAAGCTCTTTTTAAAAGAGGGTGTCCCTCCAAATCTTATCCTTTAGCTTATTTTTTTTCCACAAGTATGTTTTGGCCATGGCTCTTCTACTGGCCCTCATGATGGTCAAAATTTCAGATAATTTTGCAATGATTACATTGCTCTTGAAAATAGTGTTGTCCTTTAGTTCATTTTGTCCCAGTTGGCCATGTTTATCAGCCTGAATTTGGATTGTATTAATTCTCAGCAGTTCTGATACATTTTAGAATTTGGTGTTTGTATGTGCAGAGAAGATTTCTTTAAACTGTTTGAAAACTGTCCCTGGTTTTAAATGCTTATGGGAAGACACCAGCTGTGTGTGAAATAGCTAAAAACTTATTAGTTTTTAGAAGTACCATTTTTAAAATTAGCAAAAACAATATAGTAATTATACAATATGTAATTTTAGAGCGCATAAGTTTAATAACTGTAAAACGTCATAATTAATGAAAATATTTATTACTGTAGGACTGTCTCCTTAGGGGCTTAGTTTTACCTCCGGAGCAATGTGGGCTAAGCATACAGCTTCTTCCTTGAGAGCACTTCCATATTTATAGCCACCTGCCCTGCTCGCTCCCACCCACACCCTGCGAACACTCTTCCTCTAGGTTCTTCTTACTCCTTCTCGTGTGATCTGGGCTCCAGACCTTCCCACAGTCCTGTGGCTCTGCTCTCTAAGCGCACACACCAGTCTATCTATATCCCTCTTAAAAACTGATACCCAGCACTGAATATTATTCTAGTGGTTTAGCAGGACAGTGGACCAAGGACTAACCCTGACCTTGATCTAGATGACTAAGGCTCTTTAGTTCTCCAAGTCTATGCCTACATGACTGTCAGCGTGCCATGAGTTCATCTTAGTCTTTCTAGGGCAGGGTGTCTCAACCTCAGTACTGTAAACATTTGTCCCAGATAACTCTTGGTTGGGGGGGGGGGGTTGGCCTCCCCCACCCCAGTTTAACAACCAAAAATGCCTCCAGACTTTGCCAAAGGTCCCATGGGGAGCAAACCTGCTCCCAGTTGAAAACCATGGCTTGTGGCCCCATCTCAATGTTGATTTATGTAACGCCCAGCTTCCTTTTCCAAGGATTGCTTAGTGTCCGTGTGTCCAGATTTTTTATTTTGTAATCTAATTATAGGACCTTGACTTTTTTCCAATTTCTTACTTTTTGTTCTTCTATCCCAGCATTATGAAATAGATTACATCTAGGTTTTATATTCCAACACACTTACACACTGCGTCATCTACACATTTAATGACTATCTTTGGTGCCGTATCCAAGTGGTTGATAAATACTGAAAAGGCTGGGTCAGGTAAAGCCTCCCCTCAAGGCTTCCCTGCAGACTCACATCAACATTGCAGCGGCACTCTGCATAAATGTTCATAGTCAGCTTTCCTTTCACAATCATTGTCCCTCATTCTTTACGGAAATCCAGATATCCTGCCAATCCTATCAAAAAAGGAAAAATGGCTAGCTTTCCTGACTTGTGTTCAAGAAACCAGTGTTCGTCACTGTTGATCACTGATTCTTTTTCAGTTGCTCATGTGTTATCTAGATGTTGATACCTTCTAGAATCTACAGTATCCACAGCAACCTGATGGTCTTATAATCTGAAGATCCGTTTTGCTGTTTCTTTTTTCCTGTGTTTCCACAGCTTACTGAGAATAGCTTGTGTAGCTTTGTCTCCGAAAGCATTGATTCTGTTTTCTGTGCAGGATATAGTTTCCCTTTGTTGAGTTCTCTCAGGACCTTGGGATCTGATTGATAAAACTTGGACCCCTGACTTCATTTCTTGTCTGTCTCAGGCAATTCAGGAGACCAGGGTTCGATCCCTGGGTTGGGAAGTTCCTCTGGAGAAGGGAATGGCAATCCACTCCAGTATCGTGCCTGGAGAATTCCATGGACAGAGAAGCCTGGCGGGCTACAGTCTGTAGGGTCGCAAAAAGTCAGACACGACTGAGCAGCTAACACACAGAACACACACACACACACACACACACACACACACACACACACACACACACGGACTTTTGTATACTCTTGGTTTAAAAGACTTTTTTAATGTGGACCATTTTTGAAGTCTTTATTGAATTTGTTACAATATTGCTTCTTTTTTTTTTTTTTTTTTGGTTTCTTGGCCACAAGGGATGGTGGGACCTTAGCTCCCTGACCAGGGGTCGAACCCGCACACCCTGCACAGGAAGGCAAAATCTTAACCACTGGACTGCCAAGGAATTCCCTAATACACTCTGAATAGAAATTTGTATTTCTCTTTTAAAGCTGAATTACTGAAATAACAGGCATTTATTGAACACCTAATATAGGCAGACATTGGCCAAGTTCTGGGGACAGCAGTGAACAATCCCAGATCCCAGATTCCACCCGGTTTCCCTCCCCGCCAAGGAAGGGAAGAGAAAGAGGCTAATGACACTGTCCATTTGCCAGATGTACCTGGCCAGGTACCCTACATGATTATCTCAATTGTTATAAAAACGATGTAGCGTGGACCTGCCACTTCCTTAAAAAAAAGAGAAACACTTCAACTATTAATGGAAAAGCCACTTTTACCCTGTAAATTGTAGAATGATTTTAATTTTTAAAAACGAATAATGAAGCCTTTACTTCCATAGATCAAGAAAAGAGACTGAAGATCCAAAGTGACAGCAGAAAGAATCTAGGAATCTAGTTTTTGCCAGCTTTACCTTCATGTCTTCATAACAGTAGTTTCACTGTAGCTGTGTAATAGTCCTTTTCTTTCGCCCGTTTGTTTATTCATTCACATGACTTCAGAGGCACCACCATAAACATACCAAACTCTGTGGTAAGAGGACCAGCACACACACTGCCATGAGCAGTGAGTGGCTCTTCCTGACAGCCATTGGCTGCACTGGGCCTGAAGCCATTCAGTTTCCCTAACAACTGATGTCATGATCCTGTTGTTCATGCAGCTGAATGCCTAACCATTTTTTTCAATTTCTCAAGATATTAGGATATTCTTTTTTGGTCTGACTGTACATTTTGACAGTGAATTATTTCCTTTAAGATCTTTCTTTCAGACTCTGACATCATTTCTTAGACTCACGTAGCTTTAAACTGACACCGACATATTGTCATTTGACCTCATTATTTTTCTAACCACATTTTTATCAAGGTAGAGAGTATCACATCTTTCTTAGAGTCTTGGATGCTGAAAGATACAGCTGTGGCCCTTAGAAATTCTTTGAAAAAGAAATGTTTCATGAGTCCAGTAATGGAAAGATAAATGTTTTGATCTTCCCAAAAGTTTCCTAAAATTTTGTTGATCAAGCAACGACAAATACTTCATAACCTCACCTTTTATATAGAAAGGATGTATTGTTGAATTTCTGAAATTCTTCATAGCTTAATAAAAATAATTCTGAGACACTTTAGTAAAATCTTTAAAGCACTGATTTCTGGTGGTGAATTTTATTATGTATTGTCACAATGCTGAGAATTTTTAGATTCATTTGCTTCATTTGATTTTGAGTATAAATTCTGATGATGTTTTTTCCTTCCTACCCTCGGCCTTGACAACTGTTAATTGTACTGTATAGTAGTTTTTTATATTTTTTTTTCCCCTCTTGAGTAGCTGTGTTTAGTGTTTGTCTTATTTTCTGTGTATATATAGATATTCAATAACATATCCATCATGTGCATATGTGTTGCTAAACATAGATATGTAGAAGAAACTATATGGGGTCTGGATAATTAAATGACTATGAAATGATACTAGTAATGAAAGAGGGCCTAAAAGAGTATCAGATTTTTATTAGGGTTGCTGTGTATCTCCAGGAAGAAGAGGAGGGTTCAGAAGACGATAACTACACAAAGCCAGACTTCATGGTCACCCTGAAAACCGATTTCAGTGCACGTTGCTTTTTGGACCAATTTGAAGATGACGCTGATGGTTTTATTTCCCCAATGGATGATAAAATACCATCAAAATGCAGCCAGGACACCGGATTTTCAAATCTTCATGCTGCTTCAATGTATGTTGTTTTGGTGGTGTTATTAGAATGTTATGATCAAAATAATTTTCTGAACTACTGTTTTACCCTTTGTACTTAATGGGAAAACATAAATGACTTGCCTAGGGTGTATCTCTGTGCATAAAACAGAGTTTGTTTATTTATTTAACTCCTGGTTCATTGTTTTTAGAAGCTTCATCCCATGTTATCTGAGGGAGCATCTGAGATCTTGCTTAAACAATGGGAAGGTCTCTTGTAAGGGCATTGTGTGTTTCTGTGTGTCTGGCTCGGCATTTAATGCACACTGCTGGCATTTCTTTCTTTCAAAGCAAAACATAACAGAGTGCCCTGGGATTTCACAAGCCTGAAGAATTTATAAGTAGCAGGAGCCTCGGCATCCGTTTCTGTGACCCACAGCTCCCTCAACAGTTCCTGCATTTATATGCTTTTCCCATTCTCTACAACCCCTATCTAGTTGCACAATCACTACATTTATAACAATTCAGATTTAACTCAATTTTCATGAAATTTTTCTGCCCCTCTTAGACCAGAACTCTTGGAACACCTTCAGGAAATGAGAGAAGAAAAGAAAAGGATTCGAAAGAAACTTCGTGATTTTGAAGACAATTTTTTCAGACAGAATGGAAGGTCAGGGCATGTGTTTTTCTTCCCCTCCTCCTTGCTCTGCCCCATCTGCGCAAAGCCTCCCACCTGGGAACCCCCTGCCTGCCCCCTGTAACCTGGGCCTTGGCTGTGTGCCCAGGGCCCCTTCGAGGCTTACTGTGAGCTGGTGAGGCGTGTGTGGCCCTTACTGATGCAGATCCAGCTGACATTTCTAAAACTACCCTGTCACATCAAATTCTAATCTCAGAGGAGCAGAGTAAAGCTAAGTTTCTAGTGGACAGCCCTGGTTTTGATTTCTGTTTTTGTTTTTTCAACCTTAATAAACTTGAAGGAGGAATAAGGAAAAAAGGGGTACTCTAGATCTTGCTGGTTTTTAAGCTCATTTTAAAAGCAGAGTTGTCAAGTCATGAGAAATACACCAGAAGCAGGAAGGCGGCCTGATTGATCCCTAGGGTACCAGTGAGTTTTAAGATGTAATGTTATCGTCATAGAGCCTTATGCTGAGGGACAGTCTTCTGTGTTTGCAAGTGACCACACACAGAATGTCTGACTCAGGTCACAGCAGAAGACAGGGTAGAGCAGAGAATTGGGTTTCCTTCTTACACTAGAGTTTATCATTTTAAAATGTTTTATTTTAATCCAGATTATTTAAACAGTATAAATACAGTTTCTCTTTAAGTCCCCTTTCATAATTCTCAAAAGAATTAGAAAATAAAAATATCATAAAAATTAACTTTAACATTTAAAATTTACTGTATTTCTGTTGATTTCAATTATGGTATAAATTTATTTTAGGATTTCTGACTTGGATCTGTCCTATAATAACTTTTCAGTGAATTTTTATACCTAAATATCTGCTTTTCCTTTTCCCATTAATTGTAGGATATTTTTTAAAATGTAGGTAAAATAAAATTCAAAATAATCATGCATGCACGCATGCCATGTTGCTCAGTCATTTTTTGCAATTTCGCTCTTTGCAACTCCTCTCTGTCCATGGGATTTCCCAGTCAAGAATACTGGAGTGGGTTGCCATTTTCTTCTCCAGGGGATCGTCCTGAGCCAGGGATCAAACCTATGTCTCTGTGTCTCCTGCATTGCAGGCGAATTCTTTACCCACTGAGCCATCAGGAAAGTCCCAAAATAATATTCTAACACCAAAGACAAACCAAAGGATTAACATTTTGATTTGTTTCATTCCAGTCTTCTTTCCAAGCGTATTTTTGTTTGTCTGTTTTATTTTTTCCCATATATTTATAATTGCATTATGCACAGACATCCTATAATTATGTAACTTGCACACATTTTAAGAAAATAGAATTGATGGGAATCAATAACTATCATACAAGTTTAGAACCGTCAGGGACTTCAGATTTCACAGGGTGTGATTCATATCTGACACAAATGAAGCCTCTCAAAGGGCATGTCTGGGGCTGGGGTCACACACCCCCTTCCCTTCCCTGCCCTCTTCTGGGAGCCATCCAGGATCCTTCCTTAAGCAGGCAGAACAGGAATAAAATCAGTTCACTGAGAAAAATTAAATGAACCCCAAGCTATCCCGTATCCCATTTTTGCTCTTGAATGAGAAGGAAAGGAAGCCTGGTGCTTGAACATTTGATGTGTCCATTTCCACGTGAGAGGGAAACGGCAGCGCCACACAATGGCCGAGCTCGTGGGTGACAGCCGCACATCCCAGCCTCCTGCAGGTCGTGTTAATATTAGATCACAGATTCACGAGCGCAGTGCTCACCCTGTAATCAGCTCTCAGTTATAGTCCTTGTGCATATAGAAGTATACATATAAAATTACGCAGTAAACTTTAAAGGTTTATCAGTATTCTCTGATCCAATTGCTGAATTCCAAGACTGATTTTTATAATAAGTAGGAGTATTAACTATTTTTTTTAAACCCTGTAAATTGAGTATACCAATTAGAAATGGAATGGTTCATTAGGTTAAGTATATAAAAATGAGAACGCATTAAATATAAATAAAGGATTTCAGTGTATGGAAACCCTTAGTGTGAATTTTTATGTAGCCATAACAGAGTTTCTATGTTTCTTAGTCCATCCTGTCTTTCTTCAAGATGCCAGAGTAAAACTCAGTTGCATGGTGCCATTTGGGGACACTGTCTTTCACTGCTTGTCTTAACCCAGCTCCAGTCTTGATACCAGTGATGCTTGGCAATGCTGATTCTGTGGGGCCATAAACTGCAGATTTCCACGTGATAACTCACCCGATGAACAGTATCCTCTAGGAGAGACACCGCCTGATCATTAGCCCCTTTTCTCTTTGTTTCCATTAGAAATGTCCAGAAGGAAGACCGCACTCCAATGGCCGAAGAATACAACGAGTATAAGCACATTAAGGCAAAACTGAGGCTCTTGGAGGTGCTCATCAGCAAGAGAGACACTGATTCCAAGTCCATGTGAGAGAGTCAGCCACATCTGAGCAAGGGGGGTGGGGGAACGCAGGGGGAATGTCCCCCCTCTTTCCCCTCCCCGCCCCCCCCCCCCCCCGCCCCGGTAAACAGCAGCTGGGCAGAAACTGCAAGGCAGCCTTGGAGCTGGACCTGCACCCTCCTGCCTGCAGGGGATCAGCCCGTTTCCATTGCCTGCCTTGGAAACCATCTAGGTGGAAGGAGGCCACCTACCCCCATGCCGAAATTCTGCAAGGGAAAGTCAAGATCTCCGCACACCTGTGTGCACACAGACACACACACACACACACTGCAGTGGAGGCTTGCTGACACTAGCAGAGATGAATCACTACGTGAAGACACACTCATCTACGGAGGATGCACACTGTCCTTCCTCGGATAACTGAGAAACAGCGTTCTCTGTCTAACTGTGACAATACAAGCTCAGGACTTCACTCTGGAGAGCGAACTTACTGTGCACATTCGTGTTCTCTTCGGATCCCATCCAGTGGGAACCTGCATCGGAGCCCTGTTTGCTGCCTTGGCCGTTCTTGTGACCTTTCCACGGAGCCCCGCCTTTCCCCACTTGTGTGAATTGCTTCTCCTTCAGCTCTCGGGTAGATGGAAGCTGCACCTACCTGGGATAGCAGTGCAGTCCTCTATCTGATGTGTTTCTTCGAGACGTCCTCAGATGACAGAGAACTGATCCCTGACTAGGGCTGGACCATCAGCAGAGGACAGCTGGGATAGAGAAGTAGTTAATATCCATGCTGATTTTTCAGTTAGGCAGCAGTGAAGAGAATTCTTTCATGCACGTTGACTACACTTATCAGCTTCAGAATTTATCATCAAACACTTAAGCAAGGGGAAGGCCAACAGCCTATTTGGTTTGGTTTGGGCTCTAGCCAGACAAAAGGACCTTGCTTAATTCTTAGCTTAAGTGTAGAGGATCATGAGAGAGAAAGAGCCTGTATTTTAAGCTTTCTGTGTACTTACCAGAGTTTAATTTTTTTTAAGTGAACCTGCACTAAAAATCTAACTGAAGAATAAGTATAGCCCTCAGAGCACAGCCCAAGGCAGAACCTAAATCACACTGTTTTCAAGATCCTGTATAAAGAGAAAAGATGGTGTGTGGCCAGTTACAGTTTCTTCAAAGACAGTGTCATAGAACTATCTGTATTAGACATTTTGGAGGGACCAGGGAATTTAAGACACCAAATCATCCATCACTTCAGTGTGCTGATGTTATCTGGTGATGGGTTGGTACTTTTTGACCTTCTGTGTCTGCAGTAAGGAAAATAAGTTCTGGTTCTGCCTGTATATCCTAACCCGCCTCTGTGCTCTGGGAAGGTGAGCACCGGTGTCTGCCCACCAGCCACTGGTTGCCAAGAGAAGGTGTTTCAGCAGGCTCTGCCTTTTGAAGATAATGGTGCAGGGTGAACAAGACAGCAAAGGGTACCATTTTGTTTTCTTTAATAATGATAACAATGGAGAAAAGTCTTCCTGATCAGTTGTCACTTTCCAAAGTGGGTTCTTGAGAAACTGGTCAGTTTAGGTTTGTAGCAGCATTTTCCATTCTGAGGTAGTGGCTCTCTGTTGGTTAAAAATTGTTCAAGTTAGGAGTAGGGGAAAAAACCTTTAGGTTTGCTCTTTAATCATCTAGAAGCACAGGCTGTATGTTGAAAGCACCCTGGTTTAATCCACACACTTAAAGACGGTACATAATCCTACAATATAGTTTGGTATTCTCTGCTCTACTGTTTACATTGCAGATTGCTATAATTTCAAGGAGTTATATTATAAATGAAATGATGCACTTTAGGATGTTTTCTATTTTTGAAATCTGAACATGAATCATTCACATGACCAAAAATTGTATTTTTTAAAAGAAGTACATGTCTAGTTTGTCCTTTTTAATTACTCTCTCAAATAAGCTATAATATAAATCACATCATTACCAGTTAACTTTCAAAGCACATCTGTCTATGTATTGTTTTGAAAATACTAATATGCTACAAAACTTTCAAAGAGAAAAGGCTATATAAATCAGAAGTTATGAAATGTTTTGCAATCTGTTGTTTCTGCCAAAGGTAAATTAAGTAAAAGATTTATTCAGGAATCCCCTTTGAAATTTGTATGATTGAATAAAAGTAGACACCAAGTTATAGTAAAATAAATTGTGCATGCAATGTTGTCTTTTCCTTTGTAGTTTATAATACACTTCCTAGAATGATGCCCAAATTATGGGAGGGGGAGACCTGTTTTTACTAGATTCTATCTGAAGACACATTAGTCAGTAGGTTCTGGCTCTGCCAGAAATGCTGGGGCAAATTTGTTTCCACAGCAACCGTTTCTGCAGCCTAGAGTCTCAAGGCCCTAGAGGCAGTGTCTTAATTGGCTTCATACAGAGTACACTGGACTGCAGGTTTTCCTTTGCTCTCGAGAATGCGTATGTGTATTCATTAACACATGCAGCAAAATAAATATCAAGGGTTATTTAATAACAATGATAAGTAAAAATAAAGCATGAATAAATGATTGTTAAGAATTAGAAAGAGCAGAGACTTATAATTTTCCAGGCATTTGCTTTTATTGTGTTTTAGTCTGGCGTAAACCTTGAAACAGATGTTTATATGGGCTATGGTATCATTACTGCATTTCATCTTTGAAGCATTGGGGTTGATCTTACTTTTTAGACAGGTATGTGCAAGGTTTAGGATAATGGCCGGCTGTGAAGTGTTTCTCAACAGGCAGAATGTGTCTCGTGCTAGTACAAGAAAGTCTGCACCATCTCACTAATCTCTGATTCAGGTCAAATTTCCCTGAAAGACCAAATCACATTTCAAACTGGAGAATTATTTTTTTTTTTAAACTTGCTAGCTGTAATTCATTATGAGCTAATAATTAGATTACTTTGCTTTGGTTGCCCGTTTGAAGTCCAGTGATTATTATTCAGTGGCAAGGCAGGGATGAGCAGTGCCTCTGTTTGTAACATCAGTGTGATTTGCGTTTTGTCTCCCTGATGCAGCACTGTACCTGTGGCAGAAGAGCCGTGAGAGGGTGTGCCTGCTCCCAGGTGTGGCATTTCTAGCCCAGGACAGATGTTTCAGGGCTGTGCTTGTGTCATAAACATGGACTGTGGCCAGTCATCTGGGAGCCCCCTGAGGGCTGGGCATCTATTAACGTGGTTGAGCTTAGGATTCCTCATAAGGTGACTGTTAAGGTCTATTATCAGAATCGAAGGGCAGCCACAGTGCCAATTAAGTTGGTTCTTTCAGGAGCTGCCTAGTTCTCAGTAGGCATAATTGGATCCTCTTTCCTGAACTGATCACAGGTTTACAAGGAAGGTCAAAATTTAAAGTTTGTTGATTAATTTTTTAAGAGCTCTTAACCTGATTATGAAGATACCATCTTTCCTAAGGGTATATTTTTTAAGCATTTACACTTTATTACCTTTGGTGGTATATTTATAGCTGAATGCCCTAAACGCTTAACTGCTTTGTGAAAATCTGACTGTAGTCTAAATTGGCTTTGATCTCAAGACAAGTATTCCTGACACATTGCTTCCCAAGGATTTTTCTCTTGAGGAGAAGAGAGGTGGCTTCTGCACCAAGACCAACACCTCTGTGATATTCTTTCATAGTATCCATTTGGTTAAACCAATAGGGCGGGACAAAACTGGACTAAAATGCTGAAGTAGTGTTTCCTTGGAAACCCATGGGTTTAGCAGAAGCCAGAATGTGCTTTCTTTTCCTTTGATTAATTCCCTTCCTTTATGTTTTTCCCATATGACCCTCAAAATCTACTGAAGAGTACCTTTTGTCAAAAGATAGGCTAAACATATTTTCAAATCTGTAGGTACTGAACCTGTGCATCCTTGCACTTCTTCACAGGGTGGCTGACTCAGCAAGCCCAAAGATAGGTGTTCTAATGTCAGCCACTGCACTGGGGCATTAGCGCCTTTCCTGAGTGGAGGTCGCTGCCCTTGGGGGCACATGGGCTCTTCACTCATGATCCTTCATAACAGAAGTATGTGGGTACACTGGGGTCAATTAACAGGTCCACACGGATATGTATCAAACTGAAATGTGTACATACACAACTTCATATTGCTATGAAACTGCATCTGTGTCTCTAGAGGATCTCATTTTGCCTGGAATCCAGCCAATCTGATCCCATGCGCAGCTCAAGAAATCGGTTTGGCAGATCTGAATCTGAATCTGAAAGCATCTATATGATCATGAAAATCTCCAAGAGTGGATACAATTTTAGTAAATACCATGGGCCCAGAACAATGTTTACATGACATGTAAACAGAAAGTCTTTGAAATGACCATTGTTCCTTTTTTAAAATGTAAACTGAAAGAAAAGATGTTATGTACATTTTTAAAGTACATGACTGTATTTTGTATAAACGTAAATAAAATATTTTTAATTGCGAGTCTTCTGAATTTTTTGACAGCGAACCGTCCTGTGGGGTGTGACCTTTCCCTTCAGAAAGGAATCAAGCTACTCCCTTGAGCGCCTCCGAAGCCCACTAAAGATAAAGATTCGTTGTTGTGCCTCCATGGGAGGCACTGGAAGGTGAAACAAACTGGGCACAAGCAAGACATGCCCGTGATGGTCAGGAGGAAAATGGGCTGGTGCTGTGTGCTCAACTGCCTTTCAAATCCGTGGGAGGGGGGCTGAAGCGATGCAGAAAGAAAGGCACCTAAAAAAAAATCATGTACGTATATCTCCAAAGTCTAGGAGGCCATCACAGGCAAATACAGGAGCCATTCAGTACTCTGAAGCTAACGAGGCCAGGAAATGGTGACACGGGAGAACATACTGCAGTTGTGTGAGGTGAGCAGCTGGCGGTCAGTGGAGGTGAGGCCTGCAGGCTTCCTTTAGGCTGCACGCGTTACACTCTCAGTGACTCAAGCACACATTCAAAATATACTAAACCTGAATTTTTTTTTTTTTTTTAATTAAGGCTTGGAGTAAGGACCTTGTCACAGTACTGACGCCAGG